TTCATTGTTTGATAGATTACCAGCAAATGTTGACTTGTTTTGGTTTATCTTATAAAGCTTTGTTTATGGTAATTATTGCAGACATTGCTTGCATTTGTTATTCTCAATCTTTTACTTGTTTTTTTCATGGCATGAATTCATAGTACATAATTGGATTAATCATAGTATGTGATGTGGGTATGTTTTCTCCATATTGATAGTGAGTCTTTCTGACAGTATTTTTAAAATATCAGTTTTTCTCCATTTATTTCCTATTTCAAGTACTTTCTAGAATTTATCCTGGACTTGACTTTTCTTTTTTTTTTTTTTAAATATTTATTTTTTAGTTTTCAGCGGACACAACATCTTTCTTTGTATGTGGTGCTGAGGATCAAACCCGGGCCGCACGCATGCCAGGCGAGCACGCTACCGCTTGAGCCACATCCCCAGCCCTATCCTGGACTTGACTTTTCTAATGTCTTTTGGGTTTTCTTTGTGTGTAATTGTGATAAAACTAAATATTTTAACCATTTTAAGTATAAAATTTGGTAGCATTAGGTACATTGACAATGTGCAACTATCATTGTTCTCTAGTCTCTTTTTCACTTCAGTCTTGAGCATTATTGATATTTTTCTGGGACAGATTTTTAAAAAATTTTTTACAGATGCCCTATGTGTAACACACCACCTGTGTCTTAGCATAATTGTGGAGAGACAGTGAAGGTAAAAATACTTGGGGTATTTGTTCATTGAATGCGAATTTTCTTATCCTTCCTTCTATAATTGGTTTTAAAGACTAGTGTAGGGCAGCAGAGGTCTTCCTTTTTGACCTCTTTTATTCTCTTTTTCTCCCAAAATGTTTATTGTTATTTTTATCTTAATTTGCATTAAGAAATCTGTAGGTACAGTAAACCTTTCTTCTTATTTGAAAATGTATATATTCTGTAGATTATGAAACCCAAATTTCCACCTAGTATCATCCTACTAACCCTGGTAATAAGCACTGTTCCACAAGTGACTACAGAAATATTTTCTTACATGTCAAAATCATTTTCCTGACATCTTTTCTGCCTTTGTCTTATAAGGCTTCCTAGTAATTTTTAAATTATAATTTATTTTGAACTGCTTGCTGTCTTTAGGCTTTAGGTTTGGACCTTTGGGTATCAGAATACTTGTTTATGAATTCATTAATACATGCCTTAGAATAAATCAGTAATTATTGAATAACAATATTTGAAGTGACCATCTTAAAGCCATAGAAATAGGTTGGTTTGTTTTTCCTTGTACTGGGGATTGAACCCAGGCCCTTCCATGCTAAGCAAATGCTTCACCATTGAGTACACAAAGTTTATTTGAGGATGTCATGGTAGTCACTTACTAATTACTGATTTCTTTTAAGTCCCAAAGTAACTCACAGTAATAAATAGCTTAGGTGCAATGGTGGCAGGATTCTAGCTACCTGGGAGACTGAGGCAGGAAAAACAGCTTGAGCCCAGGATTTTGAGGCAAACCTACTATCTTAAAAAAACAAAAAAAAACTTTAAAATACAAATTAAAAGCTAAATGATGGGCTAGGGCTGTAGCTCAGTAGTGAAGCATTTTCTTGCAAGTGTGAGGCACTGGGTTCGATCCTCAGCACCACATAAAAATAAATAAAAGAAATTGTGTCCATCTGTAACTAAAAAAATTTTTTTTAAGTGAAGTGATGGCACTGCATTTTTTGATACTTCTTCAACCTACTATTGTTTATAACTATTATTGTTATATAATTTATTTTGTTTAGAAGGATGCTGTTAATTTTCTCCAGGGAAACTCCTGTAGCATTTTCTTTGGTGTATTCTAAAAATCACTTTGGAAGAGTAGTAAATGAACTTCTAAAATACAATTGTAGCCAATGATAAATTTGTGGGCTGCCTGCTTTTCATGTTGGACTATATCAAAGATATTTCGTTGTCCTCTGAACTCATAGTTGCATGCAAGTTTCCCTTCTAAGACACTTTTACCTATTTAGACAATTCTTTTGAAGTTGTAATTAAGCATGATATACATTTTATTTTCACCAAAAACAATCTGATCCTTATTCAATTCTCTCTCTCTCCCCCCCCTCACACACACACACACATACACACACATACACACATATGTATGCACACTTTCCATTCGTAAGCTTACTGAGAGTTATAAAAACATATCCAAGTAACCTAAATTTCTGAGTTCTTGTGGCCATTTGTAATTACTAGTTATGTGTTGAAGCTGGTACAAAACAGATATTCTAAGGTAGACATCTTATTAGATTTTTAAAATAAAATATTCATTATGATTTATTTCCTTCTATCTTCTAAGGAGTGAACATAAAATCTTTTAGCTTTTATTTTATCCTTTTATAAAGGATCTTCCTTTATTTTTGAACATGTGAAATTGCACTGTATTTTAAAATTAGGCTTAGTGGCTTATGCCTGTAGTCCCAGCTACACCAGTAGCTGAAGCACAAGGATCTCTTGAGCCCAGTAATTTCAGATAGCCAGGGCAACAACATATTGCCCAACCCAAACAACATGTACCCCATCTCAAAATAAAATTGTATGACTTTTTTTTTTTTATCAAACCATTTTTTGTTCTTTTCATTGTCAACCTTTGCAGGTAGGAAAATGTGAAGTCTTAAGAAATACTGTTTCTATTTTCAATTTTATATTTTCCCTGACTTCTGTCTATGAAGCCATATAGATACTGACAAGGTCAATCTCCAAAAATGTTGATAAAACAAGTGTATTTAGAAACCAGTAGTAAAAATTGAAATTTAAAAAATTGTGGAAAAGCTTTACAATTTAAATGCCCTAAAGGTACATAACTAAAAATTAATTTTGTGTGTGTTTTGTAATTTCACCAACTATTTGACTGTTTGGATTATATTCATTTTAATTATATTAAAAAATCATCACCATTGTAGTATTTGATATTGTAAGAGAAAACCTCATTGAATGTAGAATAATGTCAGGTTTCATTAATGGTAAAATAAATAACAAACAATAGAACTAACATTGAAATGAGAACACTAAAACTTTTATTATCAAGTACTGGAACATTGTGTATACATTACACAACAATTTCATCTCATTGCTAGTGAATGTGACTTTTGATTGCATAGCACATGTTACTTGCAAAAATTGATGTAAAATCTTAATATTAGAAGAAGTTTTAGGACTGGGGATGTGGCTGAAGGCACTAGGTTTGATTCCTAGAACCACAAAATAAAATTTAAAAGTTTTACCACATTGGTCAAGAATGAGAATAAAATTGTGTTCTTATATTTAGTATGTTCTTATGTTTCAGATTACAAATTACTGAAAGGAAGGATAATACTGTATTGATGAAAAATAGTCTTTAGATGGATGTTATGATAGAATTACATAATTACATAATTCGTCATCAGTGATACATTTTATACACAAAATGGACCAAAATGTATGTTTGCAAACTAATCAAATATGTGGCCAGTAGAATCCCAGGAGATTCTGTGATAAATCATATTCTTTTTTTTAGACTGCCTTTTTTGTGTTTAAAAAGATTAAAATCATTGGTTGTTAGTTTAAGGCATCAAGCCGTATTTTTAAGTTATTTTCTTAAAAAAATTATGCCTTTTCTATTGCACTAAATTAAAAAGTTGAGAAAATAATGATAATTTTTAAGATGGAAACAACAAAGGGTGCTTATTTTCAAAGAAAAAAATGAGAGGGGAAAGGAATACTTTCTAATGTTTCCCATAAAGAAGATTGTCTTACTATCTATCATAGACCATGTACTCAAGAAAAATAACATATTCCTCTCTTCTATAAAGTCAGTGTTATTTTACATCTAAAAAACAAAATTTGAAATTTTAATATTTAGTTTTTGTATAGTCTGAACATTTATTTCCCCACTATTTAGATACTGTTCCTTACTTTTGAGAACCCATAACCCCTTTACACCAATTACAAATCCCATATTCTCATGTTGTATTTTAATGTTGCTCAGACTTTTTAAAATAAATTAGTTTTTGTGCTTAAAAACAAAATTAAGGCAGAGATGGGGTTTATAACCCTTCTCCCATTTTTCTTATTTAAAAAAAATGTAGAAATTAGAGATTGCAGTTTTACTTTCATGTTCCTTAATTGGGGAAAACATGGAGTTTAATCACTGTTTGTGTAGATAGGAATTGGTCACACAAAAATTCAACAAATGAATTGTTAAAGGCTTTATTACATTTCCCTAATGCTTTGGCCCTGTTTTACTTTCGTAGGGGTTGAAATTATATATGTATGTAATGTACATTTGGATAGTACTATAATCCCGTAGGAGAAGACATTTCAATTTAAAACTAAGATAAAATAAACTGGTAGAACAAAAATGTTTAATCTTTCATAATTATGAATCCATTTCATGGTCACATTGATTATGCTTTTCTGAATTGAGCAAAACAAGGCAGGGAAGATCTTTTGTGGGCTATAGTTTTGCCCTGTAATTCTACAGCACTGTCTGCGTCATGTAGTAGGAGAACTTAGCTTTTGAGGCTCTGAGTATGAGCTACACGTGAGTGCGTTGAGTACTTCTGACCTTTAAACTTATTTTTAATTTTCTTTTGACATTCTAGACCAGGGCAGGGAGTAATGCTGTGTCATCTAATTGTTTCCTTTACACATGTTTTCTTTCTTTTTCTTGTTCTGAACTGTGGCTGTAAAATGAAGTGTATTGCAGCAAAATAGAGTAATAGAATGGTGGTCCTGGCACAATTGAAGTTTTTTGTTTCATGTTATTTTATCTATTCATTATTTTTTTTCTTTTTCTTTTTTAGCACTGGGGATTGAACCCAGGGGCACTCTACCACTGAGCAATATACTCAGCCCTTTGTAATTTTTATTTTGAGACAGGGTCTTCCCAAGTTGTCCAGGCTAGCCTTGAACTTGCAGCCCTTCTCCTCAGCCTCCTGAGTAGCTGGAATTACAGATGTGCATCTCTGCACCCAACTATTTTCATTATTTCTACAGATTCTATTTTTACTTCAACTTTCTATGGATATAGTGGTTAGTAGAAGAAATGAAAGCAGGTGCGACTTTAAGAGCATAAGCAATCACATCTGTTTGGGAGGTGAGCCATTCATATTTTAGTTAAATAGAAATGGAGTATTTCATTTTTAAAACATATTTGGTTTTTAAATTTCTGTCTCCTGTCAGTAGGGCATAGAAAGGTGGCATTAAATGCAGGGCTTAGAATCCTATTTTTTTTTTCTTTTATTTGTTTTGAAAATTAAAACAGGAAGAGCAGAGTCTGAAAAGATAAAGATTTTACTTAAATAATTTACTAAGTAGTATATTTAGTGGGAGCTCATTAGTTCAGAATTTAATTTGATCCTAGCTTTACATGATTATTTTTCCTGAATTCAAATATTTAAGATTTCACCTTACTTATTTATTTTCATTATTAATATCCAGAAGAATTAAGTTTTTCTTTAAATTCACTACATATAGACAAATAGTTGGTTGTGAATTTATTTGATATTCCAGTTTGCCCTATTTACAGTGATTTTGTGTGTCTGTGTTAACAGTTACGTAAATGTTCCACATTAAAGCAGGTTAGATGTTATCATAACATACTGACTTGCTAGGCCAGTCTCTATCATTTTAAATGTAACTCTAATCCTTAAAAAAAAATTTTATTTTATTATCTGCACATGGCTGTCATTGTAAAATGTTTAATTCATTAGGCACTATAGTAACCAGCAAAAGTGGTTCCACGTGTCGGCTTTTCCAAGGTATTATAAAAGTCATTGTGTACACCTCTCTTGACTTGGTGCAGCGTGTCAGTTTGAAAAGCCACGTGCAAGTTTGAGATTTTTGAGATTGGAACGAATGTAGAAAGCTTGGGGTAGCAAATATTAAAAAAATTATTCTCTGATGACCTCAATGATAATATTTTAAGAGTATATAAAGCTTTGAATTCCCCTCTTTTTTAAAGCAGATTGTGAAGACTGTGGAAAAAGAGACTTGAAATCCAGTCACATAATTATTAGTAAAGAACTATTAGCCCTCATGGAAGAAGAGCAAGATTTACCAGAGCAACCAGTAAGTATTTCCTTTAACAATTTAAAATTGATTGTAGAAGAATTAATTCTGGACCGGGATGTGGCTCACTAGTGGAGTACTTACCTATTATGTATGAGGCCCCAAGTTCAATCCCCAACACTGGAGAGGGAGAGGAGGGGAGCTAATTTTAAGAGATTTTAAATATTACTCAGTTATAGATTCCAAATTTAAAATGAAAATAAGGGAAAGGCTCCTTAGTTTCCCTCTAAGAAAACAATATTATATGTTTTTAAACTCATATTTGGCTATTAATGCTAAGAAATTATTCAGAAAATTCAGCATTACAAAGTGAATATTGCATTATATTTTTCTTTAACAAATCAGTGGTTACTGTTACAGTTTTTTAAAAATAGAAAAGGATGTCTGTTTACCAGTGAGGCATCACTATTTCCATTAGAAAATTTTATTTTTATCTAAATTTCCCTAATTTACTTAATTTTTTAAAAGAGTAGTAGTGAGGGAAGTATAATTTGATCACTAGGTAATTTTTAAGATAGATAAGGTCCTAAAGACTAGATTGAATTCTTCTTTAAAAAATTTAAGTGTCTCCAAATAATTTGGTTTTTTTGCTTTGTCATGGCTTCTTTTTGTTTTTTGACCTTTTAACGTAAATAATATGAAGCAAATGTGTTTTTGCTGTTGTTGCTGTTTGTTTTGATTTTTTTCTGTTTGTTTTCTTTTGTTTGGTGGTGCTGGGATGGAACCAGACAGGGGTTTCACATGTGCAATCACTCTACCACTAAGCTAGACTCCCAGCCTATGGGTGTTTTTCTTTCAAAATGAGTTTATGTTAAAGAGTCTTTCCTTTTATGTTCATATTTGATTTGCTATCCTGAGTGGGGCTTTTTGATTTTAAAGGCAGAAGAGAATACAGAGTAGTGCCTATTTACTCATTTTTTCCCACCCCGGCACTGGGAACTGAACCCAGGGGTGCTCTGCCACTGAGCCATATCCCCATCTCTCTTAAAGTTTTGAGATAGGGTTTTGCAAATTACTGAGGCTGGCCTCAAACTTGTGATCCTCATGCCTCAACCTCCTGAGTTACTATAGTGATTACAGGTGTGTGCTACTGTGTCTCATTTACTTATCTTTATGAAGATCCAACCTACAAAAATATGAATCTTGAAAACAGATAATAGATTGTATTTTTGTGTGTGTTCTAGATGTATTCTTTTTTTTAAATTTTTTTATTAGTTGCTCAAAATCTAGATGTATTCTTTACATCACAAAAAGGCATACACTCACTTCCACCTAAATAATGAAATATTTTAATATTTTTATTTATGTTAAGAATTGAATAATGATTATTACTTTGCCATTATTCTTTTAGCCTTCTTGTTTGAGGTAAGTAAGAACTTTGAAGACATAAGCAACTAATAAAAAGACCTTTTGAAACATTTAAAATGTGATTTCTTATCCTTGGTGGGACATCAATAATCAGGGAAACAGTAAGATTAAAAATCATCCTGATAAGTGCCTTGTGAGCTCTCTGATATATGCACTATAAAAAAGTTGATCTCATTGAAATGAAGAGTAGTTAGAAGCAGCTGGAGATATTGTAGGCATGGGTGGAGAGGGGATGATGGAGAAAGGCTGATCAAGGAGCTATAAGTTATTTATGTAGCCAGATAGGAAAAAGAAGTTCTGTTGTGCTCTTGAACAGCAGGGTGACTATTGATAATGTTAATGTGCTGCATATTTCAAAAAGCTCAAAGTATGAATTTTGAAAGTTTTCATCACAAAGGAATTATAAATATTTGAGGAGATACATATGTTTAGCCTGATTTAAACATTGCACAATATATATGTAGAATAAATCACCTGGTATCCCATTTAAAAAAAACATCCTGAGCTGTGTATGTAGGATACACACCATTGGTACAAATAGCTTAGTAATAAATGTACAAATTAAAACTGTCATTAAGTGTTTACTATAGTAAGACAAAAATTACTCATTTTCAAGGTACTTATGAGTGTTGACATACCGTTGAAATGGTATTGTTGTTAGTTACTCCATACCTATTTAAGGTAATGAGAATAAGGCTAACCTTCTGACAGGTTATCTCTTCTACCCTGCTTCATTTCCTTGTCATTTTATTCAACTTCTATAATATGATATGCAGCAACTAATTCAGAGGAAGGTAAGAAATTGAAGTACTTTAAAATAAATTTGTTGCTGACTATAAATGGTTATTGCCATGGTGCATCATTTTCTTACTGATTGGTACACAGATCTAAATTTATAAAGGTGATTATGTGACATCATGAAAGGGTCAGTGGCACTTAAAGAAAAGTCCAGTATTATACATAGTTTTCCTGGAAACAAGATGTACAGCATGCCCCTCGGCCCATAGAGGGAAGCACCAATGTCAGTCAGGACACAGAAAAGAGCTATGGGAAGACAAATATATTGGGGTTTTTAATTTCATTGTTTTTTACTCTTCTTACTGAATTATTCCTTTTCACTTGTTTTTCTTCTACTTGCATGTTCTACCTAAAAATTTTGTTCAGGTTAGCATTCACAACAAAACGTTAACCTCACTTATTCTTTATTATTGATCAACCCTCATCTCCCTGCAAACAGGAATGATTCTGCTTACTTTGAAATCTCTCAGTCATTTTCTCCCTATCTTTATTTGACTCAATTTCTCTGAAGCAGCTTATACTATTGTCCAAACTTAGACTCTTTTGAAGAGTAAAAGGGGGACACTAACTACACTTGGCTTTGGGATGAGAGATGTAAACAAGACCATTCCTGGTAAATTGGAAGCATTAAAAAATTTTTTTGTGGTAGCCACCACAAGCCCTTTTGTGGCTATCATTCAAGTTTTAAAATGACACATATGCATAGGAAAAATTTTTAGGTGGTTGTATACCAAACTTGATACTGATTATATCAGTGTGTGGGGCAGAGTAAATCCACATATTTATTCTGTACACATCTGTTTAGTTTGGATTTTTTAAAAAGCATTCATGCCTTTTGTATTCTCTTTTTAAAAAAGAGAAATTAGTTATACTTTCCATAGACAAAATAAGTACTACATGATTTTATTTAGCCAAAGTATAATCTAAACTAAAACATAGAAAAGAAGTGGAGCGTGGAAAGGACCTTTAAATCTTTGTTTGGTGCTTGGAGAGTAAAGAGAAGAAAGAGGTGAAATAACTAGTGAAGAAAGAAAGACTGACTCAACCTCACATTTCTTTTTGTCTTCTCTGTCAAGGAAAATAATGAATAAACTGTAAAGGATAATATACCTGAATTTTTAAAAAATATTTTTATTGTTGATGGAGCTTTATTTTATTTATTTATTTACATGCGGTGCTGAGGATCTAGCCCAGTCCGTCACTCATGTTAGGCAAGTACTCTACCACTGAGCCACACCAACCCCAGACCATTGAATTTTTTAAAAAAACTATTTTAGTTTTATATAAGCAAGCACCTAATGAGTTTAACCCTCCAGGCTCATGATGGAAGTTTTAATTCCATAGACCTGAAACTTACAAACATTTGCCAAACCAGCATTTATCTCCAAAAAGGGTCTTGAAACTGAAAATAAATGTTGCACTGTTTTGTTTTGGTTTGCTTTTTATTTAAAAGCAATAGCAGAGAGGAATTAGGTGTTGAAAGCTATAGAGTAGTGCTAGCTTAATGCTGATTAATGACAACATTCTAAAGCAGATTATTGATTAGACCTTTGTGGATACTTAGCTTCTGGTAATTGTCATATCATTTTCTAAGTATATTATTTTCTATTAATTGATAGCTTCAAGTTTTAGGATATGAATGAATGGATCAAGTGTGTGTGACACTAGAAAGATAGAAAAAATAATATTTTTAAGTATCAAAGGGTAATAAGATGACTTCTTTAGGGACTTTCACTGTGTAAATTGCAGTACAAAGATTTTTGTCATTCTTGTTTATTTGTTTGTTTCCTCTTGTGATCCTGGGGATTGAACCTAGGACCTTGCACATGCTAAGCAGGCACTTTCCCATAGTGATGTCCCCAGTCCCTAGATATTTTCGGAGTTGGTGCAGTGCTTTTTTAGTTTTGTTTAGGTTTTTTGTTTTGTTTTGTTTTGTTTTTCCCCTCCCTCTTTCCTGGCACTGGGAACTGAACCCAGGGGTGCTCTACCACTAAGCTATATTCCCAGCACTTTTAAAAAATTTTTGAGATAGGGTCTCACTAAGTTGCCTCAAACTTTTGATCCTCCTGCTTCAGTCTCCTGAGAAGCTGGGACTATGGGCTGTGCCATAGTGCTTGGCCTAGTACTGCTCCATATACTGTACTTTTCAAGCAGAGACTGCACAATTGTCAATCAGAGTATCCCCATCTATAAATAGGATTATTGCATTTTTTAGAAGGTTGCTTATGATAACAAAATTACTTAAGCTCAAGTTTTTTTTTAATTATTATTAGCTAAGTGTGAGCCTATTAACATTACTTAGTAGAAGTGCCACTTCCTCTGAAAGTAGGTGTAGGTATCATCCATTTTATTTTATTGTGATGTTGTAACTAAAGGATGCCAGTTTTGTGTCCTGTTTGTATAGGGATAAAAAATATTAAATAGATGAAAGGTTTTTTTTTTTCTCATTTGTTATCAGATTCCACTTAGGTAAGTGGAAGTATGTATGAATAGATACATTATAAATGTTTTCATGTATGCTTATATATACACAAATGGTATTTTACTTCATGGATTTAAACAATTTTGTTTCTGATTTCTGAAATTAGCACAGAGCTAAAAAAAAAAAAATTTATGATAATCAAGTAGAACCAGCACAGTCCAGTTGTGATCTTCACTCTGGGAATTATTTTTAGGCCATCTCTCATCTAAATTAATGCAAAAGCCTCTTCAGATTTTCTTACATTTAGGGTTGTTCCCCTCCTATTTATTTTCCATCTGTACTTTATCTGAATGATCTTTCTAAAATTCAGAATGGATCATGTTGTTTTGCTAATACTTGAAGATTCCTTGATACTCTCAAAATAACATTAAACTCCTTAATCTGGTTTATAAGGCTCTTCACAAGTAGGCTTCTATTTACCTGATTTTACCTAATTTTACCATCCCTTCCCTCAGACTCATTACTCCCAGTTATAGTGAATTTTTAGTGCATTTTATGTTCTCTCTTTCCCGTGAACCTTTTTTACACTTGTTCTTTCCTGTATGTGAATTAGTGTATTTCCTCCCACTTTGGATGTAAGTTCCTGCTGAAATCTAGTATATCCCTCAAGTCCTCAATTGAATTAAAATCAGAATGTTGTTAGCAGTGTTAACTAGTGGGAATATATTGTCCATATGCAGAGTCAGAAAAAAAATCTTGAAAATTACTATACTTTTTTTTAAGTTGTAGATAGACACAATACTTTTATTTATTTTGTGTGTTTATTTATTTATTTAATGTGATGCTGAGGATCGAACCCAGTGCCTTAAAATGTGCAAGGCAAGCTCTCTACTGCTGAGCCACAACCCCAGCCCTTACCCAGCCCCTAAAACTACTGTCTTAAACAACATTTCCTCCAAGAAGTTTTTTCAGCTTTCTACCTTACTATGTCCCTATATTCCCTGGCCACCTGCCCTGATAAAAAAGATTTTGGTACCCTTTCTCTGTGTTCTATAGCACCTTGTATTTCTATAGGAACCCTTAATCTAATTGTTTTATGATCTATTTTCTTATCTGTCTTTTCATCTAGACTATACATTCTTGAAGATCAAGGGCTGTATTTTTTTTTTTATCATTATCAGGAAGACTTGGTAGAAAATGCTGTGTTGAATGAATGATATAGGATGACTATGACCAGAACTCCTTTTATAAGTATTTAACATTGGAGAATCTATCATAGGGTATTTACCAGTTTGGGAAAGGCTAAGAGCTGCTATGAGAGTAAATATGTAAACGAGTAAAATAATTGTTTGTAATTATTCAGTATAAAGTATTGTATATAATTGGCATGTTATACTTTTATAGGGCTTTGTACCAGCATCCACAAACACCATTATAGTCGCTACAATGTCATTAGGTGATAGGAATTTTTTGGCTCCGTATAATTTTATGAGGCCACTGCTGTATATTCAGTCTGGGTTTGTCCTTTACTGAAACATTGTGATGTGGTGTATTACTTTTTTTTTTTAATTCGTTTTGCTCCAAGACTTTTTTTTTTTTTTTGTAAGTTGATTGGCTAAATTTTTAGTTCTATAATAAATCAGATTCCTTGAATGCTCTAATTTTCTTTTTTCTTTCTTTCTTCTTTTTTTTTTTTTTTTCAATTTATTTGTTTTAGGTTGGATTATAGCTCAGTTGGTAGAGTGCCAGCTTCGCATGCACAAGGCCCTGGGTTCAATCCCCAGCACCACACAAATTTTGTTTGTTGTTTTGTATGGAGACTATATACTATTTTGGTTACTTAATCAACCAGCTCATAAATACTTTCCTTTGATAGTAAAAAGAATCTTTGGGTACACTAAAAATAAACTTATCTTCCTATTAGAAAAGTACATTATTATCTGACCTCATGTAAATACTATCCTTTTCAGGTAGGAAGGATGGAATATTGTAATAAGAGTTGATGTTTGTAATTCGTGAAATTTTGACAGGTAAATAATCTAGAAAGTAGAATTTTTTTCCCATCTTTAGTTTGACAGTTTGTAGTTAATACATACTTAGGTCAGCTCATTTTCTCCCATCCCTTCCAATGAGATTAGATTATACATTTATAATAATTAGATTTTTTTTCTGGTCACAGCCTGCATGCCATCCTGGAATCCTTCAAAGCACCTAGTTCGTTTATGTTATTTACTATCATACAAAAGTTTCAGATTCTTATGTAATCACTTCTGTTTTCTTCTTTATTGCTTTTGGACCATGCTTGGTAAGGATTTACCTACCTCAAGATTTTTGTTTTGGTTTCTACTTAAAATGCCTCTATAATTGGTTTTTGAATTCAGAAGTTTTGGGCTGGGGTTGTGGCTCAGTGGTAGCGCACTTGCCTGGCATGTGTGAGACACTGGGTTCGATTCTCAGCACCACAAATAAATAAATGAATAAAATAAAGGTCCATCAACAACTAGAGAATCATATTTTTAAAAATTCAGAAGTTTTTTCTTCCCTTTTTTCTTTTTTCTTTCTGGACAACTATGAAAATTAAGGCAGTATTAAATATAACACAAGTTAACATGCAATAAGCAAAAAACAAAACAAAAATGGTTAATTTTATTTTATTTTGGAATTGAATATCTTTATAATGAGAAATTTTGGGCCTTGTCTTTATTATTTACCTTATCTGAAATGTTAATCATATTAAATAACTATGTTTTCACCAGATATTTTTTAAATTAACTAGTAGAGTTTTTGTCTTCTTTTTTTTTTACCTCCAAATACTTTTAAATATTCATAATTTGAATGACTAACCATACTAAGCATGTTTCTATTACAATTTTTCTTACTAGAGAGCTCTAAAATTAGATTCTTTATAATATGAAAACAGGGAAATTCATTAGCTTTAATCATTGATCTTTCATTTGCGGACTCTTAAATTATTGATGGAAATGCCTTCACCTCAGAGAAGTAGAAAAAGTGAAATATGGAAGAAAAGATAGTATTGTATGAAAAAAATTGTTTTAATTACTGGTAATCTAGTAATAATTTAAGTATAATATGTCTTTACAAAGTAAAACCAACTAGTTTTTATCCGCATTTGAATACTTTATCCTGGTAAACATCCTACATTGAGTAAAACTCTTGGTAAACACTTTATTTTGAGTCTGAAGAGTAGCTGAGGGCTGGGGTCATGGCTCAGTGGTGGTGCTTGCCTAGCATATGTGAGGCACTGGGTTCGATCGTCAGAACCACATAAAAATAAATCAAATAAAGATTTTTTAAGAGAATAGCTGAAGCCTAGCATGGTGATGTACACCTGTAATCCCAGCTACTTGGGAGATTGAGGCAGGAGAATCACAAGGTTGAGGCCAGCCTCTGCAACTTAGTGAAACACTATCTCGAAATAAAAAAAGGGCTGAGGATGTAGTTCAGTGGTAGAGTGACCCTGGGTTCAACACCCAGTACCCCCTCCCCAACAAAAGTAATAAGGATTAATAAATAAATCTAAGCCAAACAAAATGAAACAGTTATCCTCTAATATTATTAATTAATATATAATTGGCCTTCTGTGTCTCTGGGATTCACATCTGTAGATTCAACCAATGATATAGGATGACTCCAATATTGGAAATATTGGAGAAAAAATTGCATCTGTGTTGTACATGTACCAACTTTTCCTTGGCAGTATGCCCTAAGCAATAAAACAGTGATTTACATAGTATTTATATTTTATTAGGTATTATAAGTAATCTAGACATGATTTAAAGTACATAGGAGGATATACATAGGATATATACAAATACTATACCATTTTAAATGAGGGACTTAAGCATCTGTGGGTTTTGGTATCTATGAAGAGTTCTGCAACTAATCCCTTAAGGATACTGAGAGCCAATTGTATTTGAATAGCTAGGTAATTTCAAAAACAGACCACTGCATCAGTTTGTTTGTATATTTGTTTTTGCAGGTGAAAAAAGCCAAGATGCAGGAACCAGGAGAGCAAACTTTAAGGTATGTAAAGTTGAATTTCTTATTTTTTATTTTGAGACAGGGTCTCACTAAGTTCCCCGGGCTGATCTCAAACTTGTGATTCTCCTGCCTTAGTGTCTTGAATGGCTAGGATTATAGATGTACTTTTTAATGATCTACTTTAATTTTTTTTTCATATGTAGGTTAGTATATGGGCATTTGGGTTTACTGCCATCTTTAAGATTCTTACCAGCAGCCTTCACATTTTGAATTTATTTAAGGTTAAAATTTCTCTCTACAGTAGGACCACTTGAGCTCAAGAGTTCAAGACCAACCTGAGCAACATAGCAAGAGCCCATCTCAAAAATATTTCCCTCCAAAATAACTTTTCCCCAAAATTCACATGCTGATTTTATTTTTCTTATGCATTTATTATTTATTCAACAATGTATACCGAACTCATGTAATAAACACACACAAAACACACACACACACACACACACATCAGGCACTATACTATATTCAGGAGACTTGACGGTAAAAAATGAAAAATTCCATATTCTTCACACAAATGTACAGTTTACAGAAGAGAAAGCATGAGCCAAAATAAGGGAAATCCAAGGAGTTTGGCTTTATCAAATGGGACTGAGATGCCTTAGTCAATAACTTTATCACCTCTATAGAAAGAGGCAGTTTCTTTGCATCTCATGATCTGACTTCCATGGCACCATGGTTTTCAGTTTCCACAGATTTTATCTCTTATTATTTGTCCACCAACTAGGATAGTCAGTAACTGCATCACTTCTAAAACATTAATTTCAAGAATCCTGTTTTTTTTTTTACCACCACCCACTATGATTCCAGCTCACTTATGCTAGAACTGCCATGCTAGCCATATGATATCTCACATTCCAATCAAATGATCTATCACATTTTCACTATCACCTCTATACCCTTTTCCTCAAAAAGAACTTCATTTTCTTCCTTATGCTACTTAAAATTATAAGATCTAATACTGTAATCAGACCCTTGCAGACATTCTTAACTTTCTTTTTTTCTGTATCATACTTGCCTAGCAAAGCCATAATCTTGCTTAAACCAAACCATCCACCTATTCTATGTATATTCTCAATTACTGTAACACTGTAAGGGAAAGATACAAAACCGTACTGACTAGTCTTAGTTTCCATTCATGCTTATATCTTAGGCATGTACACAGCATTCCCAGTATATGATTTACCAGTCTTTAAAATTATCTTTCTTACTTTCTTTTCTCCCTCCGTTTCCCTTTTCTTCCCACTATGTTCATTCACTTGGCTGTGGATTTTGCTCCCTAAATCAAAGAAAAATCGGGACAATTAGATAGGAATACCTCATTTGTCTAACATAGTACCTTATTCTATAGATACTCTGTTGCTCTTTCTCTGTGAAATTAATTCTTCTTTTTTGTTTTTTCTGATTGAACCCAGAGATGTTCTATGACACTGAGAGCTATACCCCTAGCCTTGTTTATTTATGTATTTATTTTGTGTGTGTGGTTGTAGATGGACAGCATACCTTTATTTTATTTTTATGTGGTGGTAAGGATTGAACCCAGTGCCTCACACATGCTAGGCAAGCGCTCTACCACTGAGCTATAGTCCCAGCCCCTTTATTTATTTTTTGAGAGAGTACTTGGCTAAGTTGCCCAGGCTGGTCTTGAACTTGTGATCCTCCTGCCTCAGCTCCTGAGTTGCTGGGATTACAGGTGAGTGCCACCATGCCTGGCTTTAATTCTCCTGCTTTTATCCAAATCTAACCCTCTTTGTACTTGAGAACCTCCCACCATTGCCTTTTTCTGTGATAATCTCTTATTGTTCCTTCATTTTAATAAATTATGATTTTGCATAGTATAAAATTTACCATTTAAACCATTTTAAGTGTATAATTTAGTGACCTTAAGTACATTCACTTTGTTATACAGCCATCAACACCATCCATCTCTAGAACACATTTCATCTTATGTGCTATAGTTAATTTACTGTTTTGGTACTGTTTTTCTCTTTAGTCTGTAGTTTCTCAGTTGAATATGTAGGGGATTTTGCTGTATATAAGTTTATAAGACCAAAGGATCTTAGGAACTGGCTCAGTATATACTAGGCTGTACAAATAGCACTTGTAAGATACATGATCTAGAAATAGTCTTCCATCTTGAAATAGTCTTCAACAGTGGAGTGAACCCTAGATTTATCCAGGTACACACAGAAGATATCCTAGTCGTAACAGTGGAAATGTGAAATTCTGGTCCAGTTTTTTGCTTTTCCCCATGAGGATTCTATTTAAGTAAGTATGAGATGGGGCTAAAGTCATTTTTTTACCAATTCAGATAATTATAATGATTCAGCAATTTAGGAAAACATTGATAAAACTATTTCATATAAACTTCATTGAAGGATTTAGCTTTAAAAATAAATACAACTAAGAAAAAATTAACTGAACATTCAAAATATGCCAGAAAAAAACCCTTTTTTTTTATTAATTCTTCAGTATTAGAGGTAAGTTTCAAAAATTACATGGGAGCTTTAAATATTCTTATGTAGAAACTACCCAAACCTCTGATTAGTCAAGATTATCTTTCCAGATATATGGAGGCTATGGTACTTCATCCTTTATCTCTTCTTAGAGTATGGAAGAGCAAAGCAGGTTTCTTTCTAGAGAGCGTTAATATGGGAAGGGTGCCTGGGCTGGAAAGAAGTTTTAATATAATAATAGTTCCATTTTATTGTACATAACTGTTTTTTAGCTTTGCTCTTAAGAACTTCTAAGATATTATTATCCTCATAGCAGCCCTATGAAGTGAAGTCTATTTTTATTCTCATTGACAGTTCAAAAAATTAGTGAAGAGAACTACTTTGACCTATCCAAGGTTATAGAGCTAGTTAATGGAAGAGTGGAATATAAACTTGAGCAGTTTTGCTCTAAAATATTTACTATTAATCACACTGCTGTACTAACAAGTTGGGCATTACTAGGGAGTTGGATGTGAAGTAGGAGGAAAAGGGAAACATTGTGAGGTACTCAAGTTGGAATGATTTCCATTCCAGAATTTCAGTGGGCTCTTCCCATCATCACAGTATCTAACATAATGACATATCCTCCCAGCTCACATTGATTTACCTTTTAGAATTTCTCTTAATTTGGGGCTGGAGTTTTGGCTCAGTGGGAGAGCACTTGCCTAGCACATGTGAGGCACTGGGTTGTATCTTTAGCACCAAATAAATAAATAAAGAAAGAAAGAAAGAAAGATATTGTGTCCCATCTACAAGTAAAAAAATATATATATTTTAAAAATTCTCTTTGTTTTCCTACATGTTTTTTTTAAAAAATGCTTAGAACATGAAGCTCAGTGGTAGAGCACTTGCCTAGCATGTGTGAGGACCAGACACTGCAAAAAAAAAAAAAAAAGGTGCCTGGTCCTAGTTGTAACAACAAATAGAAACACATACACATATACATACACACACACAAAATAAATGTATGTAGCCAATCGTGATGGTGCACACCTGTAAACCCCAGTGGCTCAGGAGGCTGAGGCAGAAGGATCACAAGTTCAAAGCCAGCCTCAGCAACTTAGTGAGGCATTTAACAACTCAGTGAGATCCTGTCTCTAATAAAATATATAAAAGGACTGGGGATGTGGCTCAATGGTTAGGCACCTCTGGGTTTAATCCCCAGTACCAAATAGATAAATGTGTGTGTGTGTGTGTGTGTGTGTGTGTGTGTGTGTGTGTAATTTTTTCCCCCCTTAAGGTGTCTAGGACCATGAGAAAGAACTGTAGGATACTGAGGGTACTAGCCCTGTCCCTAGCTCTTTTCATATAGTTGCTATAAACCACAAATAAGGATATCATGAAGATTTGCCTTGCTTCTTGCTTGTATGGCCTAGGAGGAAATGAGTTTAATCTCATCACTTTTAGCAATGCAGCAAACGGACCAAGGGCTAATGTATTCATTTTGATTCTCCCAGTCAAGTAAGCAGCCCGGATGTCAGTGACCAGAAACCTGAAACATCGAGCCTTGCTTCAAACCTTACCATGTCAGAGGAAAGTAAGTACTATGCATGATGGAAGAGGCATTCCTATAACCAAGTAATGCTCTTCTTGTATAATTGGTTTTTTCTAATTGCTGGATTATTCTAGAATATCCAGAAGGTTCTCCTAGTCTTTGTGTGTGCATACTTGTGCTCTCCTATAAACTTTATTAACATGCCAGCTGAAAAAATCACATGGAATCTTCCTACCCAAGCAGTCATATTCAGTGACTTTTGTTTTGTTTTGTTTTGAGGTTGGACATTCTAAAAGTAATAGTGCTTTGCCCCAAATCAGAAAAGTTTGTGGGCCTACCCCTGATGGCTCCTCTGGAGGACTTCGTATTTTTCTGCCTTTCTAATAAAAGCAAGTGATCCTACCTATCAGTCTTAGTCAGGAAAATAAATGGTCCCTGAGGAAGATCCAGCTTAATAAGATAAACCCTCCATGTACCAATTTTCACTCTCCTGATTATATTTATGTATTAGATACCCCCCCAAAATATATAGTGTTCTGTTTTTTCTTTTGATTAAACCCAGGAATGTTTAACCATTGAGCCACATCTCTAACTCTTTTTTATATTTTATTTAGAGACAGGGTCTCACTGAGTTGCTTAGGACCTCACCAAATTGCTGAGGCTGGCTTTGAACTCATGATCTTCCTGCCCCAGCCTTCTGAGCCTCTGGGATTACAGGCATGTGCCACTGCACCCACTAGTGTTCTGTGTTTTTCTTATAGAGACATAGCTTTGTCTAGCAAACTCACTTACTCTGCTAAATTTTTCTCCCCAGGACAAGTACTCCTTCCTGAAATTAAATAAGGCATGGCTTTAAAATTTTTTTATCTTGAGTTCTATATGTTATTTCTTCAAAGCTGATTTTATTTCAGTGGTTCTTAAACTGTTAGCATAAGACATAAGAATCATTCTGAAATGCTTGTTTGTAACAGAATTCTAGGCTCACTTTCAGAGGTATTATTATTCAGAGAGTCTAATATGAATGGGGAATCTTTATTTTCAGGAAGTTACTAGGTCAGTCTGGTATATATGGGAAACTCTTCGAATCAGTGAAGTGTTTCCTCTGATTTCTTGAGTATACTAATTCCCAGAAAAAGACCTATTCTCTAAAATCTCATACCACAGCCAGAAAGTAAGATGAGTCTTTTTTGCTCCTTCCAAAAAATTTGTCTTCTTCTTCTTTTCTTTTTTGGTACTGGGGATTGAACTTGGGGGCATTCAACCATTGAGGCACATTCCTAGCCCTATTTTGTATTTTATTTAGGGAGACAAGGTCTCACTTATGCTGTGGCTGGCTTTAAACTCAAGATCCTCCTGCTTCATCCTCCAGAGCCACTGGGATTACAGGCATGCACCACCATACCCCACTCTCTTCATTTTTCCTTCAAAAACTCTTGTTTTTTTTGAAGTCTTTATCTTTACCTTCCTTCCCATTTCTTTTTACCTTAGACTGAACTTCAAGCAATTTTATTCTTTAAAGACTAGATCCTCTTTGTTTTTCTCCATCCAAACTTTTATAGCTCTCTGATTTTAACATAGATATCGATTACTTAGCTAGTACCCTTCATCTCTCTTTGTTTTAATTTTCCTATTTACTGAGCATAGATTTCTCCGTCCTTTATTTTTATCTCCCTTACATATACTTTCAATAATTTTCTTTTTTTGTTTTTTTTATATAATCACTTTTATTTTTCCATATTTTTATTGGTTCAACTTTCAATAACTTTTAATAATAAACTCTTTTCTTACCCTTATTCTCCTTGTTATACTCCAGTCCTAATTTAACCCAACTTTCTACCTTCCCCATAAAATGTACACAAACAACATTATTGGATAGAATTATGTACCTAAGTCACTATTTGCACTCTAGTCATAGAACTTCAGGTGGACACTCAATGTGCTTTGAAATCCTACATTTCCTTAACAAATTCTGTTAAATATTTTACACCACTTCTTTCAAAGAACTAATACTCACTTTTCTTTTCTCTTGAATGATCATGCCTTCTCTAATAAAAGCTATGGTCAGGAAACTCCCTTATTATCTCACCACCACCAAATCTTCAAATCTGCCTATTTTCTTGCTTCCTTGTTGTTGTAATGGAAGTAGTATTCTTACTCCTGTCTGATGTAAATCATTTTACTTGTGTTCCGTAGTCCGACCTGTCTCATTTTTCTCAAGGACTTTAGTGCTGTTGTTATCCTCCCACCACTCCTACATCATTATATTTTTCTCTTATTTTTTTTTTTAATTAATTTTTTTTTTTTTTTTTAGTTTTCGGCAGACACAACATCTTTTGTTTGTATGTGGTGCTGAGGATTGAAGCCCGGCCGCACGCATACCAGGGGAGCGCGCTATCGCTTGAGCCACATCCCCAGCCCTATTTTTCTCTTCTTAATCCTTCCGGAGAGTAAAGAAATATGCTGTGGTATTTACCTTCTTCACACACCAGTAAAGCCCCTGGGGTTTCACATCTTATACTAGTTGTAGACTTTCTCTCTGTTTTGTGGCATATCAGAAGCTCTGAAAAGAGTTGCCCTTATTTGGTCATCTCCCATTCACTCTTCAACCTATTCAATTTAGCTTCATGTCCCCACTCTTCCAGTGAGATTTCTCCTGTCAAGGTCATTTGTTATTTTCTTATTGCCAATTGTAGTAGAAATATCTCTTTTATGTTCTGCCTCCCACCATATTTCCTTCTATCTTATTCCTTTGATGGTCATTCCTTCCTCATGCAGAATGCTGAATACTGATGGGCCTCAGGGCTTAGTTCTAAAGCTGCCATCTTTTCTCCTTCAGAAACCTCCCATTACTTTAAACATATAATACATTATTAATGAATCACAATTTTATATTTCCAGTCTGATATCTCCCCTGATTAAAAAAATTTAATATCTTCATATTAATAATTTATTTTTAAGTTATATTGAGGATCAAACCCAGTGTCACACGTGCCAGGCAAATGCTCTACCACTGAGCCACAACCCCAGCCCCAATCTCCCCTGATTTCATTTAAATATACAACTGCCTTTTTGAGATCTCTACTTAGATGTCTGAAAGGAAAGTCATACTTAAAATGTCTGAAGAAGAGCTTTATCCTCAAGCTCCCATCAAGTCTGTTCATCTCCTAGACTGGCCCATCATTGGAAGAGGTATCACTGTCTCATCGCTCTCAAACTAAAAACCTAGAAACCATCCTGCAATTCTATGTTTTCCTTATTTCCTACTATACCCAAACCCACCAGAACATCATTAGTTGTGCCTTGAGAGTGTGTATCAAAGCCTTGGCTCACTATTGATATTCTACTCTAAGCCAACATATTACTTCTCTTCTCCTCCTATTCATAATGATAGATTATGCCTTGACTCTTTAAAATCCTTTCATGATTCCCAAGTATTGCCAAGATCAAGCTTTGTTCATTTTCTAGGAGAGTTAAAATTGGCCTAATTTTCCCAGAATGTTTTGATTAAATTAAAGTTGAGGGGAATAAAGTTTTGAGTTTGTCAAGTACCTTTCATCAGAGTGAGAACCATGGAGAAGTCAAAGGATCTTACCTTTCATTATATGTGATGGGTATTAAAAACATCCCCTTCATTTAAAAAAAAATTTTTTAGTTGTGGACAGACACAACACCTTTATTTTATTTATTTGTCTATGTGGTGCTGGGGATCAAACCCAAGGCCCCACACATGCAAAGCAAACACTCTACCAAATGAATTACAACCCCAGCCCATTCCCTTCATTTTTGACATGATGATTATAGATGAATATGACCTTCAGGTGTCCAATAATTATTTTTAAAGACTTCAAACAGTGGCATTGGATAATATCTTCTATAATAAGCTCACAGGTATTGATTGCCTTACTCTTTAAAAAAAAATACTTTAGTTGTAGTTGGACACAATACCTTTATTTTATTTATTTTTATGTGGTGCTCAGGATCAAATCCAGTGCCTCATACACACTAGGAAAGCGCTCTGCCGCTGAACTACAGCCCTAGCCCTTGGGCAAGAATTGGTCCCTTGTCTGTTCTTGACTGGGGTTTCCTTTTGGGTTCAGGTACTCTTTCAGTGAACCTAGCTAGATACAAACTTAGTTGGTTCCAGTCCCTGTTGACAATAGAATAGCTTCTTTTATTGTTGTTGAAGGAAGTTCTTGAATAGTTCAGGAGTCTGATGAAAGCATTTTGCAATGTAACTGCCTACAATGTGAACTGAAATAGTGCCTAATGAATGGCATATAGCTACCTATCAAACTTGAATCAAATATTTACAACATTTATCTCAGATGTAATCATAAGGGTCATAGCTTCACAGCAGCTTTTTCAATGTAAAATCATGGGGGTCAAGAGATACCACCTGGTAAAGTCACTTGTACCTGACAGTTTATCAGAATATCTCGTCAGTTTCTTAAGTCTGTCTCTACTTTGCCAAATGTAAACAAAGCCTTTACTATGCACATTAAAAAAAAAAAAACAGTACTGTACTTGCATCTATTTTACCATTCTTTATATACAACAATAACAACAATTTTCTAATAAAATTGGTTACTTCCCCCAAAGATTTGGAGATCATTCTTATGGTCTTTTACTAAGAATAGAATAAGCACCCAGAGAATGAATAAGCTGAAGAAGCATAATGTGATTTCCCGGATACAAACTTGCTTTTTAAGTTTTCCTGAGCACAACTGAGAGCTTAGAGGGTTACTTTATCTATGGTTTAGGTCATTGATGGGTAAAGATATAGATCAGTTGGAACCAGCCTTTGGCTCTTTTCCATACCCCTGTCACCCCACATTCTTAATTCTTTCATTGTCTCTGAAAGTCTACAAACAGGTCTATAAACACAAAAGTGGCATTTTTCTGCTACAGTCTTTTAAACTTTGTGATATCCAAACTGTTCTGTTAATTTAGTTTGAACAACTATGCAGTGGAGTGTGCAGTTTTTCCATTTCATTTTTGAAATGTTCTAACTTTTTTGCCTGGTGATATCTTTTTTTCAGTTATGACATGCACCGATTACATCCCTCGCTCATCCAATGATTATACCTCACAAATGTATTCTGCAAAGTAAGTTGAATGATTATTTTTGAAAAGTATGTATACTTTTTCACTTCTCATGCTCTGTCTTTATTCCTATTTGTGTTTCCTCCAAATATAATCTATGTAAACCCTTTTTTTTTTTTTTTGTGGTAGTAGAGATTGAGTTTAGGGGCACTCTACCACTGAGCTACATCCCAGCCCCCCTTTTATTTTTTGAGATAGGGTCTTGAGATAGAGTCTCTCTAAGTTGCCCATGCTAGCCTTGGAGTTGTGATCCTCCTGTGTGAACCTCTTGAGTAGCTAGGATTATAAGCACACACTGCTGTACCTAACTAACATCTTTTTTTTTTTTTTTTAATCCAGGGATTGAACCCAGGGGCACTTAACCACTGAGCTGCATCCCCACCCATTTTTGTATATTATTTAGAGATAGGGTCTCACTTTCTTGCTTAGGGCCTCACTAGGTTGCTAAGGCTGGCTTTGAACTTGGGATCCTCCTCCTCAGCCTCTTGAGCCACTGGGATTACAGGCATGTGCCATCATGCCTGGCTACAACATCCTTTTAAAAGGTAGATAGTTGCGTGGAATAGATTATTGTTACACAGGAACCCACTGTAAATGAGTAGACACTGAAAATGGAAAATACTGTTAGTTGGCTGGGGATATAGCTCAGTTGGTAGAGTGCTTGCTTCACATGCACAAGGCTCTGGGTTCAATCCCCAACACCACCAAAAAAAAAAAAAAAAAAAGAAAGAAAAGAAAAAGAAAATACTGTTAGTGATCAAAACATACTACTGATTGATCTGGGATCCTTCTCTTTCCTCTACCTTAATCCAGAAATTAAAAAATCTGCTCAAGATGGCCCCGGTTTGGCACTTCTCAGCTTAATCTCTGTTCATTTCATTTCCTTGTTTGAGGAATGCCCTCAGAGTAGAATTGCGCTTAAAATTAAAGTTAGATAGATTTGGTGGATTGAAGTCACTAAGAGGTAAGGTAAGGTCAGTGTTAAGACCAACCAGGTTAATCATCTCAAGATGGGTAGATGCAGAACAGTATATATACCAAATTACCAATTGTGAGTTAGTGAAGAGATAGACCTATGCATGCATAGACAAGTATAAGTATGCTTATTAAGCCAGGGTATATCCTTATGCATTACAAACATAGGAGACATAAAGAAATGGTGAGAGGTGCCCCTGTGAGAGTTGTAAAAAGAAATTGGCATTTTTTTTCTAGTTGTGCCCATTTTTTCTTTTGAATTTTGTATTAAAAATAAACTAATTAAAAAGTCAACTCATTGAGTTTTTTGTTTCTAATCTGATATTAACACTAATGGCCTTGCCTAGTCATTTTCATGTGGTTTTTTCTGTAGATGATTAAACCTTTTCTGTGGGGTTATTATGAAGAAATTAGATTAAAAAAAAACACACATAAAAACACATTTGAGCTTTGAGATCTGCAGACACATGAAAAAGGATAAAAAAATTGTGATCTTTCAAATTTTTTTTAAGATGGACACAGTATCTTTATTTATTTTATTTATTTTTATGTTGTGCTGAGGATTGAACCCAGTGCCTCACATGTGCAAGGCAAGCGTTCTACCACTGAGCTATAACCCCAGCCCCCTGTGATCTTTCTTATCTCTGAAAATGAATCCATCCAAGGTCACTAATACTTCAGACTGTTCCCATATGACTTGAATAGCAACTGTTACCTGAACTGTTTCCTGAGCTCAGATCTAGCTATGAATACAGTCTGTTGGGGTCCACTGAGTCATGAATATGTTACATATGCCAAACAAAGTATTTGCATACCTGCTACATTCATTTTATTAGCTGTGCTTTCTATCTTAATTCAGATCTCCTTACTACATATCAGAAACATTGTATTGTGATTTTAACTGGACCTCCATTGCAGCTTTACCTCCTTCTAATTCATTTTAAAAAACAATGTCAAATTAACCACTATTAAAGAATAGCTTTGACCTTGTCCTCCTTTGCTCAGCAATTTAGTGCCTTCCAGTTGTTTCAGATGTGTCTGAACTCTTAACCAGGGGCTTTGCTTTATTTTTCTGCCTTTTTTATTTTTTAATATTTATTTTTTAGTTGTAGTTGGACACAATACCTTTATTTTTTTATGTATTTATTTTTTATGTGGTACTGAGGATCGAACCCAGGGTCTTGCATGTGCTAGGTGAGTGCACTACCAATGAGCCACAACTCCAGCCCCAATCTTTCTGTCTTTTGCTCATTACTTTTCTTCTCCATATACTTGCCCCTTAATAATATAGTATTTGTTCCTTAGAGACTGAAACCCTTGCTTTCCTTCCTCTGTACCAGGGCTTTTTTCCTTCTAGAATACTGTTTCTTTTTAGAAACATCCTTAGAAAAAATTGTTTTCTAATTTTTTAAAATTTTTTTAAAGAGAGAGTGTGAGGAGAGAGAGAGAGAATTTTTTTAATGTTTATTTTTTAGTTTTCGGCAGACAAAACATCTTTGTTTGTATGTGGTGCTGAGGATCGAACCCGGGCCACACACATGCCAGGCAAGCGCGCTACCGCTTGAGCCACATCTCCAGCCCCAGAAAATGTTTTTTTAGAACACCCTTTCTCTCCTGTTTGTGTACATGCTATCTGCTCAGCTCACATACCAGTTCTTTGTAGCCTTCCCTTATTGTCCTTTACCTCCAAAGTTGCAAAAAAATCTTTTCCCCTGCTACAACATATACCTTCCACCCTTATTTTGTTTTTATTACATAAATAATACAATAATAATACAAATAGCATTTTTTCCTTGCATTGGAAGTACATCATAATATACCAAATAGAGTAACTGATACTCAAACATTCAGTGTAATTGCAAGGATGAAATGACCAGGTCAGCTAGCCAGTGTATGAAGTCCCAGGGACTTACCTGCTGAATTCAAATCCTTAAGGATTCCTGATTGGTTGCCACCAACTAGTGATGGTATTGCTCTTACTTAAATATCAGTGGGGAGATAAAGTCTTATCTGAGATTTCCCAGATGTTATTAGTTAACCTGGCTCTTATTTTATAAGCTTGATATGAGAATATTAGAGTTCACCCCTACCCTTTGTTTTCTGATGTGGTCATTTGCCTTTTCTTTCTTTTTAGTTGTTGATAGACCTTTATTTTCTTTATTTATATGTGGTGCTGAGAATCAAACCAGTGCCTCACACATGCCAGGCAAGTGGACTATCACTAAGCCCCAACCCCAGTCCCCCTCGTTTGCCTTTTCTCAATCAGCCTCATCCTCTTCTCCAAGTCCAACTTTCCTTCTCAGAACTTTAGTTTGGCCCAAGGAATTGGGTGGAGAATGAGTTCCAGTTGCCAATTAGTTTTCTATTATTTTAGGATTTTATTCTGTATGAAGACATAAATAAGGGCATAAATATTTTTAGTTCTTGTGCCTCGCTCACCTCACGTAGTGCCTTTTATGTACTACATCATGGATGTTTGTAGGATAATAATTGGAACTTGGAAGGATGTTTGAAAGTATTAAGTTTTCCATAAAATTTTTCCTTAGGTGGATGTAGTAGAACCTGAAAAAGAAAAAAGCATTCAGCTTTCTGACCATAAGAGCCATTTTATGTGGCAGATAAGCTGTCTCATTTCTGATTTTTTAACTTTAGTGTTATTAACTATTTTATCTATTTTTTATTACTAAAATAAGTCAGAGTTTTTATTTTCTTGAATTTTTCATGAAAGTTTTTGTTTTCTTGAATTTTTCCAGACCTTATGCACATATTCTGTCGGTTCCTGTTTCGGAAACTGCTTACCCTGGGCAGACTCAGTACCAGACACTACAGCAATCTCAACCCTATGCTGTCTATCCTCAGGCAACACAAACATATGGACTACCTCCTTTTGGTAAGGCATTCTATTGTAAGCAATTTCTACAAATGTTGATTTTATACTCCAGAAGCTTCAAAAAGCAAGCATGGCTAATCAGGAAGCTGAAAGACGTGTCATCTTTTACAGAGTTCTTATTCAGAACTTGGGTATACAGGATGTGTAATGCATGTAATATAAAATTGTTTTCCAGTACTCATTTGTTCACTCACAAAAATTTAGCTACTTCCAAAGTTTTGATTCTAAAGCTTAAAATCTTTAAAATGTTTGAAAAGCTCTTTAAAGAATTACTGTTGATTTAACTTACTTTATATATAGCATGGTACCATAGTTAGGTAAGCATAAGTATAGTTTGAAATGGCCAATTTTCTGCCCAAACCAGGTAGTCTGGATTTTTTTTTATGTTATTTAGTACTGGGACACTCGACAACTGAGCCACAGCCCCTGCCCTATTTTGTATTTTATTTAGAGACAGGGTCTCACTGAGTTGCTTAGCACCTCAATTTTCCTGAGGCTGGCTTTGAACTCTCAATTGTCCTGCCTCAGCCTCCCAAGCCACTGGGATTACAGATGTTCGCTTCTGCTCCCAGCTAAAATTCAGTAGTCTTAATGTCCAGATAAAATATGCCTCGTAAAATACTCTATGGTTTGTGGGGTTTTGCTTTTTGGTTTGGGCCAATTTCTCTCTTTCCTGCCTATGCTCACCCCGACCCAAACTGATCAAATGTCCTGCTAAACCAAAAGTCAGAGAGAGAGAGAGAGAGAGAGAGAGAGAGAGAGAAAATTTTAATATTTATTTATTTTTTAGTTTTCGGCAGACACAACATCTTTGTTTGTATGTGGTGCTGAGGATCGAACCTGGGCCGCACGCATGCCAGGCAAGCGCGCTACCTACCGCTTGAGCCACATCCCCAGCCCCCCAAAAGTCATCTTAAAACGAGAAAATCTCCAATTTTCTATAACCTTACAATGTGCATAGGGAATTATTTTAATTGGTTTTAGGTATCTTGGACATGAACTGAAAATCAGTGATTTATCAGACGTTAACTTGAGGTTTTTTGGGCACCTAATTTCTATGCTAATTTTTCTGTGTGTGTGTATGTGTGTGTGTGTAAATTGATAGCTATATGCAGTGTGCTTTATTGCCCCTTGTCTATTTTTCTAGCACTGGTGTCAGAAAATTGAGAGAAAAATTTAAAAATGTAATATGTTAATAAAATTATGTCTTTGTAGACTTTATTTAAACAAGCTGGGAATTAGAAAAATTTCCAAAAATCACCACATAGATTCTGGATGTGTTAACTGTTGCCTGCCTTTGATTTCTACATTCTTATCTTTCCTGGCCCATTTGGATAGTCTTTTATGTTATGTCAGTGAGTGGTTTTTTGTGTTTTTTTTTGTTTGTTTGTTTGTTTTTGTGTGTGTGTGCCAGTAATTAAATCCAGGGGTACTTAACAACTAAGCAAAATCCCCAGCCCTTTAAAAAATTTGTTATTTTAAGACAGGGTCTTGCTAAGTTGCTTAGGGCATCACTAAGTTCCTGAGGCTGTTTTCAAACTTGCAATCCTCTTGCCTCAGCCTCCCAAGTCCCTGGGATATCAGGAGTATGCCTCTGTTCCCAGCTTCTTAGTCATATATTTAACCAGCCAAGACTCTTTCCTTTTGGAAAGAAACCCTCTGAGAATATTTTTGTGATTATTTTTATTTGTGTATATTAAAGCTAATTTTTGGACAGCTAATAATTATAAAGTAATTATTTTCACATTTTTTACCCTCTATTTTGATTTGAATTTATTATTAGCAAGTCCAAATCATTTACAACATTTTTGAACAGTTAATCATTCCTGCTGTTGTATATGAAATAAGATTCCCATTATCTCTGAATTCAGTTTATGGAATGGCTAACATAATACCATGTGCATAAAGATCCTAGGTATTATATCTATTATGATCATTTATTTCTAAATTATATATATTTATAAAATTCTGTTAAAAACGTAGAGGAGGACTGGGGACATCTCAATGGCAAAGCGCTTTGCCTAGCACCTGTGAGGCATTGGCTTCCATCCTTAGCACCACATAAAAATAAACAAAAGCATTCTGTCCATCTACAACTACAAAAAAAAATCTTGGACAAAACATTGAAACGTTGTTTATGTTGTAGAAAAAAATTTGATAATTAAGGCTCTCTTGATTTGTTTTTGTTTAATATCGGAGTAAGAAAGGCTTGTGTTATATAAATTCTTCTGTCAGTAAATGAGAGAGACAGATAGTCATTAACTTGACTTTAAGTAATATATGACACTTACTGGGGAAGAGATATTTAGGTTGAGGTAACATGAATGATGGATGTAGCATATTCTCAGATTTTTTTTTTTCTGGAGCTGTGTATAATAGGTATTTGTATGGGACTGGGGTTGTGGCTCAGAGGTATAGTGCTTGCCTAGCACGTGCAAGGTGCTGGGTTCAATTCTCAGCACCACATAAAAATAAATAAATAAATAAATAAACAAACAAATAAATGTATTGTGTCCAATTACAGCTAAAAAATATTTTTTAAAAAAAGAGATGTTTGTAGTACTTTTGAAAGTTACTGTATCATTAAAAGACATTTTCTTGGGTTTTAATACATGCATTTTGGCAGTTTGTTCACTTAAAAGAAAGAAAACATTTCTTTTTGAAAATAAGATTTTGGTACTGCCTATTTTAAGATTAGCTAGTCTGTTATTTTATTTCAGATATAAATAGGACTTTGAGAAAAACCTCTTATAATAATCTATTTTTTGAGTACTTACTTTGTCAAGCAATTTTACACCATATATTATTGTCTCATTTAGTCCTCAGAATAGTCCTAAGCGGTAAGTGGTAACATGTTCACTTTTGATAGGTAGGGAAACTAAGACTTGGTTAAATCACTAGCCCGAAGTCATACAATTAGTAAATGCCCAGGATAAAAATTGAACCTACATCTGTTTAATTCCAGAGGGACTTATAAATTTACAACTGTATCAAAAAGATGGTCTCAGAATCATGTCTGAAATTAAAAAGTTTTTTCCTCTCAAAAAAAGGAGAAACGAATAGAAGAAATTTTAGAAAGGTTTGTTAGAAATAATCTTTAAAAAATGAGGAATGGGCTGGGATTGTGGCTTAGTGGTAGAGTGTTTGCCTGGTATGCATGAGGCACTGGGTCCGATCCTCAACACTGCATAAATTTAAATAAAGACATTATGTCCACTAAAAACTAAAAAATAAATATTTTTTAAAAAATGAGGAATGCCGATCGTTTTCTTTTCTGAACTATTATAGGAGTTGGATGGGATGGTCGAATAGAAAAAGAGATTAGAAGTCTTAATTCCTAGTGATATGAAGAATTTTATGTGAAGAAAAGGATTTATTTCTAAGGGTTATATACAATATGTTCTTAGTTGACACTCTTCTGATTTACTTTAAAAAAATTTAATGTGAGTTGGAATATTTGGAGATATGTTTAAGGATGGTTCATTACATTTCACTTAGTAATATTTTTTGTGATACTTCTTTTGTAATCAGGAATAGTACTCAGCTTACACTATTAGTGTATATAAAATAGTTCAGCCAAATTAGTTATTGAATCAGCAAACCAATATAGTCTTACATTTTTTTTCCTAGCATGTGTGTCCTTCATTTCCTAATTAAACTAATTTCTAAAGAGCCATGACTCTGATATATACTATAAACTGAGTGATCAGATTAGAGTGGTAGAATTTATGATAAGGCCCCCACCCTGGGGCATCAGGAGACTAACACTCAGGTATAGATTTACTTTTTCTATAGTCTCTCTAAGCAGCTGTTGGTGCACCAAAGCCTGAAAGAGCTCAAAAAGCTTTCTAGTCATACTCCTGGCACAGTGTACCAAGAGTCAAGATACCTGCTGGGCACGGTGGTACACATCTGAATCCCAGCAGCTCAGGAGGCTGAGGCAGGAGGATCAAGAGTTCAAAGCCAGCCTCAGCAAAAGTAAGGTGCTAAGCAACTCAGTGAGGTCCTATCTCTAAATAAAATACAAAATAGGGCTGGGGATATGGCTTAGTGGTTGAGTGTTTCTGAGTTCAGTCGCTGGTAGACAAAAAAAAAGAATCAAGAAACCAGAGTTTGTTTTTCTCTTTGTTGTAAGCGGTAGTTCTATATTGTCAGACCATTTATTTGGTCATGTTACCTATTAACTGGAATTCTGTGCAAGGTGCCTTTAATGAAAGATACATACATTTCTGAAGTACAGGACTACAGTGATACTGGAGGCAGTATTTTTATTGTCTTTTATTTAACTGTTTCTCATAAAATAATTTTATATTAAATATCTAATTGTATTTCTGACCAGAAATGCATGTGCCCTTATAAGAGACCAGTTTATAAATATTGTACAGTTTGAATATAGGTAAATAAAATTTAAGTCACATACTAAATAATAAAAGTATTCTCACTTGATACATTGTTATCAATTATTATCATTGCTTTAGTATATACTATAACAATATGTTCACAAATTAATACCTCATGGTCAAAACCTGCTTAGAAAAGATATTACATTGATTACAATGTATCTGGAAATTGTGACATTTAAATTGTAATTTGCTTACCAAAAGTGTGATACATAACCACCAAGAATTAATGCACTGATATTTGTAGGGGTTCTGTGTTTGGGATTGAGGTCTCTGATAGCTTCATGAATGTGGCATGCTTGGTGGCTAGGAAGTTTCTGTGCAAAGACACAGAAATGTCTGGCTGCTGGGAAAACTTCTGTGCAAAGACACAGGATGCCTGGCTGCTGTACACTCACTGTCCTTCATGAGGAAACTGTGTGTTAGAGTCTTATCAGCCTTGACCTTGATTTCAGGCACACAGCTCCTGGGAATAAAGGAACTCTCTTGTTAGACAACCACATTATTTCACTGAGCCTAAACCTGCTAACAGTAACTTTATACAGTGGACTTTCTTGAGAGCTACACAGAGCTCCTAAGGTTGCATAATGCAACTTAGTATGTAACTGATGAATAAACTGCATAATGTTGCTAAGTCTGTAACCTGCCCAGTAATACAATGAACAATATGTGCTAATGATGCCAATGGCCTAAAGTAACCTATTTATATAAATAAAGCTTGGCATCTTGTCCTGTCTGCCATTCTGCCATCTTTCTTTCCTGCCTCCGCATCTTGTCTCTGTATCTCCTTTTTATTTTCTTTACTGATAATTGTCATTTCACATCATACATGTTTTTAAAATGATATCTTCACTGGGCATGATAGCACATGCCTGTAATCACAGTGACTCAAGAGGCTGAGGCAGAGGAGGATGGCAAGTTCAAAGTTAGCCTCAACAACGTAGTGAGACCCTGTCTCAAAAAACAAAAGGGATTGGGGGTGTAGCTCAGTAGTAAAGCTCCTGTGGGTTCAATCCCCAGTACTCAAAATAAATAAGTAAATAAAAATAAATCCTCGAACATTTTTATTGTTGAAAATCAAATTTAGCAAATATTACCTTAGGACTGGCTGACCTGGACAAGGTGTAGTTAAATGACCATGAAATAAATGGAAGAGGCAGTTCTCCTAATTCATATTAAAGATATTATTATTCCATCTTCTCAGATAAGTTATTTCATGTAGTTCATAGATAAGAAAAGAATATGCATCTTTTTTATGCATTAAGGGTTTGAGACAAAGCAGTAACCATGTTCCAAGGTGAACCTAAGATTTTCACATTTCTTTTTTTTATTATTTAATTTATATATGACAACAGAATGCATTACAATTCTTATTACACATATGGAGCACAGTTTTTCATATCTCTGGTTGTACAAAGTATATTCACACCAATTCGTGTCTTCATACATGTACTTTGAATAATAATGATCATCATGTTCCACCATCATTTCTGATCCCATGTCCCCTCCCTTCCTCTGCAACCCCTCTGCCCTATCAAGAGTTCATCTATTCCTCCCATGCTCCCTCTCTCTATTCCACTGTGAATCAGCCTCCTTATATCAAAGAAGAAAACATTCAGCATTTGGTTATTTGGGATTGGCTAAATTCACTTAGCATTATCTTCTCTAACTCTATCCATTTACCTGCAAATGCCATGATTTTATTCTCTTTTATTGCTGAGTAATATTCCATTGTGTATATATGCCACATTTTTTTATCCATTCAAAATTTTCACATTTCTCCTTTACTATTCTTAGATTTTCTTATCAACAGAATTGATAAGTCCAAGTTGTACTGAGGTATTTTAGCACCCTGAAGAAGCAAAGGTCCTTATTAAAGTATTTCTATTGCTTTTATTAGTTGAATATAGATTTCTTATCATATTAGGAGTAAATGAAGTTAATTAATGTTGATTAATGAAGCCATATTTGATGTTAGTACTGATTACATGCAAAGTGCCTAATATCAGCTTCAACTCCAGCAACCATAGCTATTCAGAATATAGTGGGAAAACTAGGCAATGGGTTGTGGTTTTTTTGTTGTTGTTGTTGTTTTGTTTTTGTTTTTGTTTTTTTACAAAATAACCTATTTATAGCCAGAATTGTCGCCAAATCTGTGTAATGATGAGTATTTCACTCACAAAAGATACCATTAGGCTGCAATGTATAAAATCTTTGTTTATGGTTTCCTAGTTATTGCAAATTAAAAGAGGTGCAAATGAAGATGGGAAATTGTAAAGAAGCAATACATTGGGTAAAAAAAACAGTGATCTCAGAACCTAAAAATCATAGAACTATTAGCAAGTTTTATTTAGTACTAAGTAAATGTCTTTATATTACAGTAGCCTTTACTTTAATATTTATATATCACAGCATAATATTGATGTTTGTAACAGTAATTCCGAGAAACATCTATTCACTATTTCTTCCTTGCTAAGAAGGCAGGAAAAGACTAAATATATTTTGGGAAGATAGTCACTCAGAAGCATTATAATAAAAATAAAGTAAAAGTGAGCTAGGCACAATGGTGCATGCCTGTGTTTCCAACTGCTTGGGAGACTGAGACAGGAGAATTCCAAGTTCAAAGCCAGCCTCAGCAATTTAGTGAGATCCTGTTTCAAAGTAAAAAATGAAGGGCTGGGGCTGGGCTCAGTGTGGAACACCTGCTTTGCATATGTAAGGTGCTGGATTCAATCCTCAGCACCACATAAAAATAAAACAAATAAAATGAAGGCATACTGTCCATCTACTACTACTACAATAACAACAAAGTCTGAGATGTGGCTCAGTGATTAAGTACCCCTGGGTTCAATCCCTGGTACAAAAAAAAAGGGAACAGTTATGAATAATGGTATAACAGATTGTATGTTCTGACATGAAAAGATGCCTCTCAGATATTATATGGAAATGTAAATTATGAATGGTATATATAAAATGATCTGTTTTTATCAAAAATAAGAAAGATCAGTACATGTGTAGAAGAAATCTGGGTGACACTTCTGCAATCTATTAAAAGTAGTTAAACAACAGAATTATATATTACTTTTTTTCCCAGTTACATATTTCTGTAATATTTTTAATTTATAAAAATAAGCAGGTATGTCTTGTAATAATCAGAAGAAAAAAGGTTATAAATAATCAGCTTAAGAAACAGAGAAGTATTTAATATATTTTAGAAAAATTCCGTTTTTATTTAATGGGTAAGTGGATTTTACACTTGGGTGGAAGTTGTCCAAATTGTCTGCCACCTTGACAATTTGCATAAATGAACATCAGACACTCTTTATGACAGATACTCCAGTTTGGTGTCAGTAACTCTTTCTGAACCCTAGTTGGTTACCCTTAATCATTGAAATGAACATATGTGTGTGTATACACCACGTAAACACACACACACACACACAAATATTGGGGGTTTTAGCAGGAGTTTTGCTTTTATGACCCCCATCTCCTAATTCTTTGAAAGTGTATTTGCTTGTGGTGTATTACAAGTGGGAGAATCTTTAATTTTCTCTTACAAGCAAATTTTATTTTTGTTTTAAGATTTAGATTTTAAACCTACTGGCTAATAATTAAAAGCATAACCATGCTCCTCAGTCCCAGTGTATTGTTTGTAATTGGTCCAATTTATCTGATTCAGGTGCATTGTGGCCAGGTATGAAACCTGAAAGTGGTTTAATTCAGACTCCATCTCCAAGTCAACACAGTGTTCTTACCTGCACTACAGGGTTAACCACAAGCCAGCCAAGCCCAGCACATTATTCTTATCCCATTCAAGGTAAATAGGCATGGTTGTGTGTGTGTTATTTAATTATTATTATTATTGTTTTTTTTAATTTTAAATCTACCTGTATATCCAAACAAATTGGATAATACAGGTGCTCTGTATTCTTAAATAGAAAGGAGTGATATGTGCATGCTTTTTGTATTAGGCAAATCAGAGCTAAAGAGTGTGGTTTGTAAGTAGTATAGCCTTTGGATGTGAGCTGCTTAATAGTTTGAAGCTTCCCTTTTTTATGTTGGTGTCCAAAAAACCTCTCTGATTTTGTTCTAATCTGTTCTCAGTGGCATTTTATCTTATAAGTGAACAGAAGAGTCCATAAGTCTGAATTTGCTGACCTCTTGTGTATGAATTGTCCGAGTGGTATGTGAGCTGCGTGCTGTTTTTCTGCTATGGCCTTGTTGCACCTGTTCTCATTAAGTACTTCTTGGTGAGAGTATTTCTCTTGCTCAAAAAGTTCGTATTTATTTGTTTCAGGATGTAAAGCCTAGCATTAAACTCTATGTAACTTTACTTTCCTGAGTTGTTCTTTTTAAAGGTGATAAATTATATCAGAACAATAGGAAGGAGAACAAAAAACTCAAAGGCACTATGGGATTAATTGCCACCCTACCAAATCCAGAGCAGGCAGTTTGTCATTGCTCTATTCTGGGAGTAGTGTCCATGTGCCTGACTTTTCATCTGCCTCCTTTTTCCTGGCTTTTTATTTCTTACAAATGGACTCTAAATGGATAAATGATAGACAGCTAAAACTTTCGTGAGGTATTCTTAAAATATGAATTTTGGTGATGACAAAAAAATTTATGTTAATTAAACAAAATTTTGACTTTCAGTTTAGTGGAACTACTGTTTGGTCTACTGGAACAGAATTTGGTCACTATGTTTACCTCCTGTCATTTATCAAGTTTCCTCTTTCTTTATATTCCCTTCTTAGTCTCCTTCCACTTCTTTATTTCTAAGCTGGGAACAAATCAAGAGGGGAAAAACTCAAGAACATGACTTTGTCTATCTTCACTACCTCCTTTCTTTTTTTTTTTTTCCTCCCCTGAGACAGCGTCTTGCTATGTTGCCCAGGTTGACTTTGAACTCCTGGGCTCAAGTGATGCTCCTGTCTCAGCCTCCATAGTAATGGAGACTACAGGTGTGTGCCACAGCACCCTACTTTCCTTTTCATTTTTATGAAATGTTTCTCTATGTTAATAAGTAGCCACATCTCTCCTAAATAGGTATATTCCTCATGGCTAAACCTTGTGAGAGTAGGAGTTCCCTTCTTTTATATTGATAACTTTCTACCAGGATGGAGAACCACAACTCTTCTTTAGTTGTATCTTGAATTTGAAGATCTTGATAGCTATATTTACTTCTTCCTCCTCCCTAGTACAAAAAAAAAAAAAAAGCTTAAACATCAGTAACCACTCTTCTTATTGTGTATTAGTGTATATTTTTTCTTGCGATTACTTAACCTGGTTTCCCTTATTTTGCAATTAATGATAATTGCTTGTATTCAGTTAAGTGCTTATTATATTCTTGATATTGTTCTAAGCAATGGATAGATGTTACTCATGTTAGTTTTTTAGTACTGGGGATTGAATACAGACCCTCACACATGCTAGACAGGCACTCTGTCACTCAGCTATATGCCCAGCACCCTTCCCCCCTTCTTATAAGATAGGATCTCACTAAATTTTCCAGGCTAGCTTGGAATATGCTATCCTCCTGCCTCAACCTCTTGAGTAACTGAGATTGCTGCATGTGCCACCATGCCCAACTTACTCAAGTAATCTTTAAAACAACACAATAAGGAAGTATTTTTAATCACATTTTGCAGATGGAGAACCTGAGGCACAGTAAAGCTAAGTAACTTGTCCAGAGGCATAGAGTAAATAATATAGGCAGGATATAAGTTGGGTATTCTGACCCCAGATCATGACTGCAATTGTTAGATTTTCAGTATTGAAATCATCTTATCTGTATCACCTCTCCCATTTTGAAAACCTGTACTAACATAATATAAATTTATTTTTCCTCTCATTTAATGTTTGTTAACACTTTGACACACGGTAGAAAATAAGGCAGAAATTAACTATCAGGTTGTCAATTTGTGCCATTTATTCTGAAGGAAAAGTTAGTAGAAAAACTATTGGCTAAGGGGCTGGGGTTATAGCTCAGTGGTTGAGCGCTTGCCTCACATGCTTGAGGCACTGGTTCAATCCTCAGCACCACATAAAAAAATAAATCAATAAAAATAAACTGCTTTTAAAAAAAGAAAAGAAGAACTATCGGCTAAAAAGAAATATGGATATTATTGGTGAATTTGAACTGCCTGGGTTCCTCATTATCACTGTCTCCCACCTCTACCCACCTTATCTTTACTTTAGCATGGTAATGAAGGGTAGTTATTCAGGGCTGCTGCTTTCCATCTAAATAACTGCTCAGTCATTAAACAATAAAGACAAGTACAGTGTATCAAATTTTTAAAATATTTAGTATTTGTTTATTTTAGTTGTAGTTGGACACAATACCTTCATTTTATTTATTTACATGTGGTGCTGAGGATCGAACCCGGGGCCTCTCATATGCTAGGTAGACACTCTATCACTGAGCCACAACCCCAGCCCCAGTGTATCAACTTTTAATTTTTTATTTTTTGGTGTGGCGATTGAACCAAGGGGATACTTTGCCACTGAGCTACATCTCCAGTTCTTTTATTTTTTATTTTGAGACAGGTTCTCTCTAAATTGTTGAAAGCTTCACTAAGTTGCTGAGCTGGCCTAGCTCAATTTTGTTAAAAGTGGTCAAAGCATCCTGTTCCAAAGCATTAATAGCAACCTATCTTCCCTGAAGAAATTACATCAAAGTCAAATCCTCTTCTGGCTTGATTAACTCTAATCAAACCTTTTCTTAGGCTGGGATTGTGGTTCAGTGGCAGATCGCTTGCCTTGCATGTGTGAGGCACTGGGTTCAATCCTCAGCACCACATAAAAATAAATAAAACAAAGATATTGTGTCCATATATAACTAAAAAAATTTTTAAAAAAACTTTTCTTAAGTTTATACCTCAGTAGTACCATTGTGAGAAAGGACAGCTCTAGTGTACTTACAAAAATCTTTGAATAAGTAGATATGACTTATCTTTGAATAAGTAGATATGACTTCTTATTTTCCCTCCCGATCCTCAGGGTAGTGATCAGATCTGACTTTTTGTATTAGTCTTTTCCTAAAGATCTGGAACCCATATGTCTCTGCCTTTAGTCATTTTCTTCAGCTGAAGTGGCTTAACTAATAATATTCAAATGCCAAAATCAAGATGTTTCAAAATTAATTTTAACTTTTATTAAATGTCTTTGGGCTTTACTATTGTGGTAACTATTCACAATAGTCTTTCTTTAACCAGGAGTTTGTGTTTTGTTTCATTTTTATTAATAGACGTTACTTTTAGTATAGTTTTAGATTTATAGAAAATTGGATAGATAGTACTGAGAGTTTTCATCTCTCTCTCCACATACCCTGCAGACACTTCCCCTATTATTAACACCTTACGTTAATGTGTTATTTTTGTTACAATTAAAGAACCAGCTAAGTATATAGTTTATTCAGATTTTCTTATTTTTTTTAACATTTATTTTTTAGTTGTAGGTGGACACAATGTCTTTATTTTACTTTATGTGGTACTGAGGATCGAATTCAGTGCCCCACATATGCTAGGCGAGCGCTCTACCTCTGAGCCACAACCCCAGCCCCAGATTTTCTTAATTTTTACCTGATGTCCTTTTTCTGTTCCAGGATCTCATGTAGGATACCACAGTACATTTAGGTTCCTCTAGACTTTGCAGTTTCTCCAACTCTACTTGTTTTTGATGACCTTGAGAGTGTTAAGTGTATTTTGTTGTTTCAACTTAACCACCAGGAACACTTTTGGTTGAATCCTATGCCTTTTTACATAGCCCCACTTTTTTGGTTTCTGTTTTCAGTACTTCCTTAATTTTTGGCACTATGAGATGCTCCAGTCTCATCTTGTATATTACCTGTCCAAGTCCTATAATCAACTATTTCTCTAAGGAGACCTGGTTCCTCTTACTGGAAAAGATGATATTAGAAACCAAAATATGGGCATGAGGGATGCTTGTTGCTACTGGAGTATCAGATGTCTTTTTTCTTCTTCTTCTTTTGTTGTTGTGGTACTAGGGATTGAACCCAGGGTAGCTCTCTACCACTGAGCTACATCCCCAGCCCTTTTCTTGTTTTACTTTGAGATAGGGTCTCACTAAGGTGCCCAGGCTGGCCTCCCTTGGAGTCTTCCTACCTCAGCTTCCAAGCTGCTGGGATTATAGGAATGCACCACTCCACTTGGTTCAGTGTCATTTCTTTAAGATTCTTTTAATTAACAGAGAAAGAAATATACATATTATACTAACCTATGTAAGTACACATATGTAAAAATATTTCTATATGTAATAGTCTATATGTTACATTAATCATGAGTTCTTACTGAATTCTCTAGCTTTAATCCATTATCACATAAATCATCCTATACTCTATTTCTTGCTGCTGTAAATCTGTACTCCAAACATTAAGAAACGTTGTTCAGGAAATTACTTTGATTTATTAAGCTCCTTGTGAACAGATTTCTTTGTTCTATACATTGATGCAACTCACACACATGAAATAGTACTTGCACTCAATATTATCTGATAAATGAGAGGATGAGCAACCTACTTAAACAATCACTTAACCAAATATGCACAGTTTTTACTGGGTCTCAAAGGAATTGGATGAGTTTTTGGTCAGGTTTATTGGTCACACACTGAAAGTAAGTTTTAGAAATCCACCCACTGTCAACCTCTAGCAGAAAATAGTGGTTTTGCCCCCTCATACCTACTGTATGCAAGACACTTAGTGCATCCTATAACTATGTATAGAGTGTCATCTACCATATGCCAGGTGCCTTGCTAGACACTAAAAGTAATAAAATAAGAAGATACACCTTTGTGGAACTTATAGTCTAGTAGGGGGAGATAAAAAAACAATTTTTACATGAATAAATAAGGGCATTTAACCACTGATTGAAATGTGCTCTGAAAGAAAAACGAAGTAGATTGCTATGATTGGGAAAACAAGAAAGGACTTTTTTTTTTAACCTTTATTTTATTTATTTATTCTTATGTGGGTGCTAAGGATCGAACCTAGTGCCTCACACATGCTAGGCAAGCGCTCTACCACTGAGCCACAACCCCAGCCCAAGGACTTGTTTTAATAAAAAGGTCAGAGAGAGCATCTCTGAGGAAGTGAGACAAGCTGAGGAGAAGTGCCATTATGCCAGAGGACTGGAGGGGAAGACAGTCCAGATAGAGAGAACAATATTGCAGAGTTGCTGGAATGATAAAGACCTTGTCCTTTTTTTTTTTTTTTTGAGTAACTCAGAGAAAGCCAGAGCAAGGTAGATGGAGAGACATGTCATAAAATTAGGCAGGTAGGTAAAAACTAAATCTTACACAAACTTTTATGTGCCATTACCCTTTGGGTTAACCTTTCAACTTTGGGGCTATATCACTTAATTCTGCTATGCCACTCACCAATCTGTAACCATCCTTTGGATCAAAGCTATGTATGTTGACTATATTAGGTTGAGCTAATGGGGCATGGTTCTTAGAAGCTTTGTTTTTCTGATTTTGCAGCTCCATTTTCAGGAGTGAGGACTACCTACATACAGTTGGCCATGCCATTGATATTTAGAATTCTGATAGCCTTTAGTTATATAATAATTGCTACCATTTAAATTTTTTATTCTCTAACTTTGTACTTTTGTTACGTATTTTGTTGTTGCAACTTTTTTTTGTATGTGTGGAGACCAGCATATTTTTATATATCTTTATATACATATATATGCAGGATAATCAGTACATTTTTTGAAAATTCCTGGTCTTTTAGTCATTGTTGTATATGATATAGAACATACAGTAGTTATGCACACTTTTAGATGAGTTTAATGAGAGTTCAGTGATAGTTACAGAGACTAAAAGGTATTACTTACTTAATTATTAACTAACAATCCCTCACTAGAATTTGAACTCCATAAGTTTAAGGACTTTGTCTTGCTCACTATTTTATTCCTTAGTGGCTGGAAAAGTTTCTAGTGCATAGTAGACGCTGATATACTTTCTGTTTTGCTGAATAAATGAATGACACATGTTAGAAATTATTTGGTTATGTTGGAGAAGAAAAATGTTATTGGACCCTGTGAACTTTCTAGGTTAGTAGGCCGAGATCACCTAAGCCCTTATTATTGGGAGAAAACGTTGATTTGTAGCTTGGTACTTGTTTAAAACTCAGACACTTATCAACTAGCAAATCAAGTTACTAAGATTCCTAGCAAGAATAATAGAGTATGTGGCCAAATGTTTTTCACCACCAGCCCGATTTAGTAAGTGGACTGAAGATTGTTTAATTTCTTTCTTGGGATTGAACCCAAGGGCGCTTAACCACTGAGCCACATCCCCCGTCCTTTTTTATGTTTGTATTTATAGAGACTGAATCTTACTGAATTGCTTAGAGCCTGGCTAAATTGCTGAGGCTGGCTTTGAACTTGCAGGCCTCCTGCCTCAGCCTCCTGGGCCTCTGGGATTACAGGTGTGTACCACCATGCCTGGCTCCAGTCCTGTTCTAAATAGTTTTCTTATTGACTGCCCTTAATAGAGTTGGTAGTCAGTTAGCCCTACCCAATGGTGGACCCTTGGATTACTTATGATTACAGTAGAAATCATGCATCAGTGTTTATGATAAGTGAAAGAGTAGAGTTGAAAACTATTATCTCATATCATTACATTTACAAAAGTCCTTGTGTTATTTACTAGTTACAGAGAAATTCTAAAACCCTGATAGAATCTGTGTTTAAAAAATGTAAAACTTAATCCAAATTCCTCGTCTTAAGACAGCCAGCCCAAGTAGTTTACCAAGTACATTTCTCCTGACTAGAATATATTTAATGTTTTCTTAATTTTTGTATATTCATTGATAAAGTCTCTAAATGCCAGATCATGGTGTTTTTTGTTCCTCATTAATAATCCATTATTTGAGTAGAACTCAAGAAGTAATTTCCAAGCACTTTAGAATTTGGAGCATTATTTCTCAGAATAATTATCTTGCATCAAGAAAGGCATAATTTGAGGCAAGTAATAGTAAATGATAATATCATAGTGTAGGATTTATCAGAGCTCCACTGATGGTTAGTAGGTCACACTGCAGGTGAGTCTTTTTTCAGCTTCTAGAGATATGAAGTGGAATAATCTGGGTTAGTTCTGATTTCATTGGTATCTTTAGTATGAGCTGTGAAATGTATATGTATCCTTCTAGGACTTTAGTAGGAAGAGTTGAAGACTCAAGTTGAAACAGAAAGACGTTTGAAGTGTTTTGTTTCTAATCAAGTCTAAATTGAGGTATGACATACAAAAAAGCAAAATGAGCATTTGTTTCTCTTGCTAATTTTCTTATCTCCTTGTAGATGTGTTCACTTAAGACAATGTATTTTTTTAATATCTTCTAGACTTTTACATGGTATCTTTAACTAATATCTCTTAAACTCTCAATTCTGTAGCTTCAAGCACAAACGCCAGCCTGATATCCACTTCATCCACAATTGCCAATATTCCAGCAGCAGCAGTTGCCAGCATCTCAAACCAGGTACAGTATAATTCATCTAGTTTGCTCTTTCTCTCTTCTTTCTCTGTTCAATTTGCCTATCTAAGAAATAACCAGGAATAATATGGGTTATGGAACCCTTTTTCTGGATGCCCTCAGAACTAAACCCTAGATGGCTTCTTAAGCTGCATCAGTTTCTCTTATTCTCTATTAAGCCTCTCTGAATATGGTTATATCTGCTGCTCTATCTATTGTATGTGTTTTTACCTCTTAATCTTCTCCCAACAAGCTCCATGAAGGCTAGGATTTACTTTTCTATTTTTTTTTTTTTTTTGAATTTTAATATTTATTTTTTAGTTTTCGGCGGACACAACATCTTTGTTTGTATGTGGTGCTGAGGATCGAACCCGGGCCACACGCATGCCAGGCGAGCGCGCTACCGCTTGAGCCACATCCCCAGCCCTTACTTTTCTATTTTGTTCATATATGTATTCCCCAAAACCTACAAAAAGGCCTGGCACTCACTTCATTGTGAATTCCTTGGAATTTGGTCTTGATCACTGTTAACATTAACTCTGCTTACAAGATCACTGGTAACATCTTCAGTGTTTTAGAAGGTTTGCTGTTGTTGTTTTGTTTTTGTGTTGTTTTTCTCTGTTTTTCACCACTTCTGTGAATCTTTTTCTGCTCACAATTAACATTACTTTTCTGGTTCATTTTCTGTGTTTCACTGTCCTTGTATTTGTTCTTTCTTTTAGTCCACAAATATTTATTGAGTTTCTGGTTTTGAACCTAGCACTCTCATAGGAACTCTGTTTCTTTTTGTTATCTCTCATAAATCTATCCATCTCTCCCTCCCTCCCTCTCCCCCCTCCCTCCTCCCTCTTCCCTCTCCCTCTCCCCCTCCCTCCTCCCTCTCCCCTCTCCCTCCTCTCTCTCCCTCCCCCCTCAGCTGGGATCAATTGCACATAATGCTAGGCAAGTGCTCTACCACTGAGCTACAGGCATTCCTATCTCTTCTTTTTGATTCTATCTTCTAATGTGAACCATCTCTATTTAGTTTTTCTGCATTTAATAATTTCATCCTCAGGAGTGTTTAACTGTACTGATAAACTGTCTCTAAGATGAAGATTCTGGGCTACATGATGTTTACAGGCTTCCAGCTGATTGGTGGTTACTTTTTTTTTGATATCTTGCTATTTCCTAAGTTCAGAGTATCTAGACAAGACCTTTGTTCTACCCTTTTTTCTGTCTTCTTTTTTTCCAGAAATATAACTACTTTTTTTTAATATTTCTGAATTCTTGTCAATGGCACCATTTTTTTTTTCCTCTTAATTAACCAAGTCCTAAAATCAGACTGGTTGATTTCCATTTCATTTCTCCTACCTTTCCCTAACCCAGCCATTTCTCAAAATTTTCCCTTTTTATTTTGCTATCATTTCTGTTACTTTGTGTTTTTTCCTCCTTTAATACTGAATTACTGTGGCTGAATGCTTATTTCATCTCTAATTTTTTTCCCCTGTGCTGTCTGTTCTTTAAAATACTGATTAAATTTTTTGCAAATGCTACCATTTATGAAGTTACTCATCTGCTCAGAATTTTTTCTTGTTTTTACTGTTGGTTTAATTTGAGAGTTCCCATTTTCTGATTCAGACAAGCTATAATACTGTTGCGTAAAGAATCTAAGTCATAACCAGGCACAGTGGCATAGGCCTATAATTCCAGTGACTAAGGCAGGAGGAAAAAAGAAAAGAAAGATAGAAAAAAAAAAAAAGAATTAGTTTGGTCAACTAGTGTCGTCCTATTTGTCACTAATATCAGTGTCAGTGGAATTTTTTGAAGGTGTGTCACACTCAGTTTTATTTTATAGTTCTATTAAGATATAATAGACATCAAACTATATTGATTTAAATTGTATGGCTTGATAAATTTTGGCATATATGTTTGTGAAATGACCAAAAGTTTCCTCTCGATATTTTAGGGAAACTTTTATTTTTAAAGAAAACTTTTAAAAAAAGATTATCAGTTTTGTGAAATAAGAAACTTTAGTGTAGGGTATATACTTTTTAAAGTTAATTTGCCCTTATAAACACTGCCGTTTAATGCATGGGTTTATAACCTTATTAAAGAATAGACATTTTTGTTTAGAAATTCTAGCAGAAATTCGGTACATAAAATTGGAAAGGACATAGTATGTATATGTATAAAAGTACACAGGAACCTTCCCTTTCGGCCTTCCTTATATTATAGCAGCTCTTTTTTCTGGTCTCATATTTCTAGAGAATGCATTTTGAGGGGCTGGGGTTGTGGCTCGGTGGCAAAGCACCTGCCTTGCACATGTGAGGCACTGGGTTCAATTCTCAGAACCATATAAAAATAAATAAACAAATAAAGATATTTTGTGTCCATCTAAAACTGAAAAATATTTTTTTTTAAAAAATAATGTATTTTTAAATTATTGTTTTCATTGGAGAGACTGTTAGAAAACAAGAAGTCAAATTAATGTTTTAGGGAAATAATTATGAATAAGAGGGAGAAGAAACCCTTTGGTTGAAATTTAATATGTGTGCTCTCGGGGGGTTTTTTCTTTTTTTGTATCAGGGGTTGAATCCAAATGTGCTTAACCACTGAGCCACATCTCCAGTCCTTTTTTATATTTTATTTTGAGACAGGTTCTCACTAAGTTGCTAAGGCTGACTTTGAACTTGCAATCCTCCTGTCTCACTGCCTTCCAGATTGCCAGGATTACAGGTGTGTGCCACTACATCCAGCAATTATGCTCTTTCTAAGACTCTTGGTTTCCTCCCTGTTCCCTTTGGCCTACAGGACTATCCCACCTATACTATTCTTGGTCAGAATCAGTACCAGACCTGCTACCCCAGCTCCAGCTTTGGAGTCACAGGCCAGACTAACAGTGATACTGAGAGTACCACATTAGCAACTACCACATACCAGGCAGAGAAACCTAATGTCATGGTTCCTGCTCCAGCAGCCCAGCGACTTTCAACTGGTAAGTATCGTAGTTCAGAAAACTGGCTTAAAATTAAGGGCACTTAATCCAAAAGGTGTTGTCAGGTGATGGGGAAGATAATTTTGTTCTGATATCAGCCACTTTCATCATGCTCTTGGCTTTCCCTCCTAGGTGAGTATTTAAACTTTGGAAGCAGGCTATGATGAGTCATGGGTGGCTGATGTCTGCCTGATACTAAGAATAGAAAAGTACCAACAATGAAAAGACTATACTGTATTTCCAACCCCTACCAGCTCTTTCAGCCTACAAATTCCCCCAATCTTTTTTCCCCTTGTGATTTGTTTTATCCTTATAGAATGTTTTATAATGTTTTCTGCCTTCTGTATTTTATTATAAATTATTAAATAGATCTAGAGCTATGGTTTTCAGCTGGAGATGATTTTGCCCCCCAGGGAACTTTTGGGCAACATGGAAAATAGTTTTGTTGTCACATTGGTCGGGGATGCTTCTGGCATCCAGTGAGTAGAGATCAGGAATACTGCTTAGTTAAATACCCCAAAAAGTATAAGATATCCCCCTCAACAAAAAAATTAACCGTCCCAAAATGTCAGTTATGCCAAATTGGCAAATCCTGATCCAGTAATCCAGTAGTAGAGCAGCAGTTATGTTCTTTCTAAGACTCTTGGTTTCCTCCCTGTTCCCTTTGGCCTATATTATCTATCCCACCTATACTATTCTTGGTCAGAATCAGTACCAGACCTGCTATCCCAGCTCCAGCTTTGGAATCACAGGTCAGACTAACAGGGTCTTCTTTTTTTTTTTTTTGGCAAACTAACTTGATGAGCTGTGTATAGTGGCCCATACCTGTAGTCCCAGCTATTTTCAATGTGAGGGCAATTTGAGACTGGCCTGGGCAATACAGTATGAACTTATCTCAAAAAATAACTTTGAGGGACTTAGAAGGCATGCATATAAAGCATGATTATGACTCTTTTTATGATGTTAGCCACTGTAGGTGCTTAATGCCTAGATCTACATTCCTAGATTGCTTTACATAAAGTCTAGTTATCTAAACTCTCTCCCTTAGTTATGACTCATAAGGGCAGAGAATCTGCCAGCCCTCTTCATGCTCTGGTTCATATAGGCTGTGACTACTGGCAGTACATGTCCCACTTTTTCTTTTCAGGAGACGCTTCTACAAGCCCAGCTTTGTCCCAAACTACACCAAGTAAAGATGCTGATGATCAGTCCAGGAAAAACATGACTAGCAAGAACCGGGGCAAGAGGAAAGCTGATACCAGTTCTTCTCAAGACAGTGAATTGGAAGTATGAGAAGAAACTCATTCTAGTTTTTTTGTTTTTTTCTTTGTTTTTCTTTGTTTTTTCTTGCTTCTTGAATTTATCAAACACATATCTGAAACTCACAGAGATTATGTGGTTGTGTGTTGTATGCTCTTTAATTCCTATGCAAAAGAAACTGCATTGACCAAGTAAATTAGAAAAATGGTAAGAAAAACAAAGTTTCTCCATGTCCATAACTTACTATATCACTTTCAGATGCTTTTCACCAAAGCATTAAAAAAGCTTTGCTGGATTTAGGTAGCCAGGCAGTTTTTTAATGGAAAGAACAAACAATTCTCTGTATTCTAGAGAACAGAAAGAACAGTTCATCTTATTCAGAAAACAGAGGGAGCCACAAGTGATGTCATAGTGCACTCCATTTAGAAATCTAAAAGGAAAATGAGAGCTTCAAACCCAAGTTTCTGTGAGACACACAATTAGATCTGGTAACTTCTTAATGACATTGACACTGATTTATTTTGTGCCTGTAAGCACTGTGAGACTTTATTATGGACGTGTTTTTAAAAGACTAGGGGTTGTGATTATGGCTCAGAGGCAAAGCTCTCGCCTAGCATGTGTGTGTGGCACTAGGTTTGATCCTCAGCATCACATTAAAAACTAAATAAAGGTATAGTGTCCACCAAAACTAAAGAATAAATGTTTTTTTTTAAAGACTAGAAAGATAAAAAATTCTAATAATAGTGGGGTTTGTTTTTAATTTTTCTAAAAAAATTATTTATTATTTAATAAAGGGAAAAGATATATTTGAATATAAGTCCATTGAGATAGGTGCCCTAAGACATAGGTAAATTGAAGCCGTATTTAGAGCCTGTTATCTTTCATTCCTGGGTTGGGAACAAAGGAACATGAAAGAGAAACTAAAATTTTGATACATTTCTTAGGGAAAACTGAGAACTTGCTCATTTTTAAAAATCGGAGCAAAATATGCATAACGTAAAATTTTACTATTTTAACATGTACAATTCAGTGTCATTAAATACATTTCCACTATTATATAACCATCACTACTATATGTTACCAGAACTTTTTCATGATTCTAGGCAAAATCTCTACACCATGTAAGCCATATCTCTCATACTCCTGTTCTCCTAGCCCATTGCAACTATTGTTCTATTTTCTCCTTCTGTGAGTTTGCTTATTCTAGAATTTGCTTATTCTAGATTCCATGTAAGTGGAATCATACAATATTTATTCTTTTATGTCAGGCTTATTTCAGTAAGCATAACACTTTTACAGTTCGTCCATGTTGTAGCATGTGTCAAAATTTCGTTTCCTTTAAATGGCTAGCTAATATTACATTTCGTATATGTGTGTGTGTGTGTGTGTGTGTGTGTTGTATCATGTTTTGTTTTATTCATTCATCTGTTGAAGGGCACTTGAGGTTTTTACCTTTGAGCTATTATGAGTACTTCTTTGAATACTGACTGTGTGCAGTTACCTATTTGAGTCCCTCTTGTCTGTCTTTTCAGTTCTTTTGGGTTCCACAAAGGAATATTAATTTTGATCATATTCTGTCTTCCTCTTTTTAAGGAACCACCATAATTGTCTTCAGTTTTACATTCCCACCAGCAATTCACAAAGGTTCCAGCTTGTCTACATCTTCATCACACTTGTTATTTCCCATTTTTTGATAGAAGCCATCCTAATGGATGTGAAGTGATACCTCATTATGGTTTTGATTTTTACTTCCCTAATGTCTAATAATATTTAGCATCTTTGCACATGCTTATTTGCCATTGACATATTTTCTCTGGAGAAATACCTATTCAGATCTTTTAAACTCCTTCCTTCTCTTCCACCCCCACCCTAAGGTAGAGTCTCACTGTGTTGCCCAGCCTGGTGTTAAATTCCCTGGATTCAAGTGATTTTTCTGCCTCAGTTTCTGCAGTAGCACCTGGCTCTCTGCCCATTTTTTAAATGGGATTTTTGGTGCTGTTAAATTAATATATTCCATATTATTGATCCAAAATATTTTCTCCTATTGGGTTTGCTTTCTTTCTTTTTTTGGGTGTGTGTGTGTGTGTGTGTATGTGTGTGTGTGTGTGTGTGTGTGTGTGTGTGTGTGAGAGAGAGAGAGAGAGAGAGAGAGAGAGATTTATTTGTAGTGCTGAAAATCAAACCCAGGGCCCAGAGCATACTAGGCAAACACTCAACACCAAATTACACTTTTCACTCAGTCTTTTCAACTTTTTTTTGTGTCCTTTGAAGCATAAAAGTTTTTAATTTTGATGAAGTCCCATTTTTTTTCTTTTATTGCTCTGCTTTTAGCATAATATGCTCATGAAGATTTACATCCATTTTCTTCTAAGATTTTTATTGTTAAATTTAGGTGTTTAATTTATTTTGAGTTAATTTGTATAAGTTCTAATTTTATGCTTTTGCATATGGATGTCCAGTTTTTCCAGCATCATTTGTTGAAAAGACTTTCCTGGGCCAGAGGTGCAGCTCAGTGGTAGAGCACTTGCCTAGCATGAATGAGGTCCTGAGTCTGATCCCCAGTACTGCAGAATGAATGAATGAATGAACAAAGGAACGAATTCCTTTCTCCATTGGATGATTTTTTTTATTTTTGATCCTTGTCAAAATTAATTCGCAACAGTTTATTTCTTGCTTAAGCTCTGTTTTATTGGTCTGTATGCTAGCACCACACTATTTTGATTACTGAAGTTTTGTAGTGAGTTTTAAAATCAGGAAGCATGAATCCTTTAGTTTTGTTCTTTTTCAAGGGTGTTTTGACTATTTGGGGTCTTGAGATTCCATTTTAGGATGAGTTTTTCTTTCTTTTTTAGAAGTAATTGAGGGCTGGGGATGTGGCTCAAGTGGTAGCAC